AGGGAGCCAAACATTCATGGCATCCTCTGTGTTTTTCTAGGCACATGAGTGGAACAACTGGGACTCAAACTGGTGCCTGTACAGGATGCTGGGGTTTCAGAGGCATATGAAGCTCAGATGATGAGCCACAATGGCCCAATATCACAGTATTTTGAGGTTGTTAATATACACATCATTTTAACAAATTTATTTTTATTGGAAAGGTAGATTTACAGAGAAGTAGAGACAGAAAGATTTTCTGTCTGCTGGTTTACTCCCCAAGTGTCTACAACAGCTGGAGCTGAGACATTACGAAGCCAGAAGCTCCTTCTGGGTCTCCCACGTGGGTGCAGAGCCCAAGGTTTGGGTCATCCTCCACTGCTTTCCCAGGCCGCATATAGGGAACTGGAAGGCAAGTGGAACAGCCAGGACATGAAATGGTGCCTGTATGGGATCCTGGCATGTGCAAGGTAAGGATTTAGACACTAGGCCATTTTGCCAGGCCTGGAAGGCAGATTTCACAGAAAGAGTGAGGTCTTTCATTCACTGGTTTACTCCCCAAATGGCCGCAACAGCTGGAGCTAAGCTGATCTGAAGCCAGGAGCCAGGAGCTTCTTCCCAGCCTCCATGGATACAGGGTTCCAGGACCTTGGGCCATCCTCCTCTGCTTTCCCAGACCATAAACAGAGAGCTGAATCAGAAGTGGAGCAGCTGGGTTATGAACTGATGCCCATTTGGGATGCTGGCAATTGCAGGTAGAGGATTATCCGGATACAGTATGCACCAGCCCCTAATTTAAATATTTTTAAAATAAAATGTAAACATTTTATTTGAGATGGGGCAGAGTAAGAGAGACTGAATGGGAGAGTTAGATAGTCTCCCATCTGCTGGTTCAGTCTTCACATGCCCTCAACAGGCAGGGCTGCGCCCAGCTGGGCCAGGAGCCAGGGACTCCATAGAGATCTTGCATGGAAGTGCCTGAGCCATCCCCTGCTGCTAACAACGAAGGTGAACGGAAGCAGGAGGACTGCAGCCCTGGCAGTGGGTACTGCCAGTGGGTGTACCACAGGGTGGCATGCGAACCACTGTATGTGTATAAACATTTAAAGTTTAAGTTTGAATCAGACAAAAAGTTTGGGGGGCAACTACTATGTGATTATTTTTTCATTTCTGTTTCAATTAAGATTTTTTTAAAATTTGAAAGGCAGACAGAGATCTTCTGTGTGCTGGTTTACTACCCAGATGCCTGTAGCAGTTGGGGCTGGATCAGGTTGAAGCCTGGAGCTTGAGACTCCTTCTGGGTCTCCCATGGGGGGTGGCAGGGGCCCAGGCACTGGGGCCATCCTGTTTGCCTCCCAGAGTGTCCACTGGTAGGAAGCTGGGACTTGAGCCCAGGCATCCCAAGGGGCATCTCAAATCACCCCTTTTTTATATCTTATGAATTTTATCAAAAGATGGTAAACATAAAGCACAGAACTGGTTGGGTCATGGTTTAACCAAGATCATGCTGGAAACAGAATCAACGTCCTTTTTGCAGATAAGGGAGTATGAACAGGTCATCATTGAAGATCGGATAGAGAAGGAGAAGACTCGGAAGAAGATAGAACAGGATGACTTGGAACTAAAGAGCATCATCAAGGTAACAGACCAGCCTGGGCACCTGGGGTTCCCTCCGTGCCCCTGCCCTCGGCCGAGGGCCCGACTGTGCACAGTGCTCCTCACAGCCACCGCAGCAGGTCACGGCGGACCGGCAGGGCGGTGAGGAAGGCTGCCTCTGTATTGTTGCTGCAGTTTGCCAGCACCATCCTCAGGGCAGACAGTTGACAGAGAAAAAGACAGCTGTCAATTGAGGGAACAAGGTAGTGCGCGGCAGAAGCAAAACGCAGGTCCGTGGACCAAACTTTAATACCATTTCAAAGCAGACAGACGGTTCCTTTTCAGTGTCTTACTGCTTCTTGAAGATCTTGTTTATAAATCAGCCCCAACTGTCTGCCCAGTTGATACAAGCAGGTGGTGTGGGAGGTTCAGGGAGGCCGGGGGGGGGGGGGGGGAGCAGGTGGTGTTAGAAATAACGAAACCAAGTGTGCACAGATCCCTCAAAAACTGTGGTGCAAGGACCCTGAGATGGACTGGACACAGGCGTGAGCTGTGCCCTTGTGGGCCGTGGCCAGCTGGAGCTGTGTATTAAGCTGGACAAAACCAAACCAGAGGCCCTCAAGGACACCTAGGTCCCCACCCTGAGCTTTGAGTCATCAGGAAGTACTTATCAAGCTTCTGTGGTGTCACAATTCTTCGATTTCAAGCAGGAAGGTAAAACAACTGAGGCCCCTTCAGTTTCCCCTAGCAGATCTGCTTCTGGTCTGTAGGATGGACTTCAATGCCGAAGTGGCTAGTACTGCATTCAGAGCAGCTGTAGCTAACAGAGGAATCCAGGGAGCTGTCAGGATACTGTTGGACAGAAACCATGCCAGAAAGCTGGGGTGGTCATCTGAGAGCTGGTAACAAAAGCTGTTGGATATGGGGAGGCAGGATGTACACCAGGGATGTAGCATGCAAGCAGGTCAGGTTTCCAAGTGGGAAGGACAGTTTGGCAAACCAGCTTCCTTCCCTGCATTCTCACGTGTCTGGTTTTAGCTCTGGGTCCCACACCAAAGTGCGGGGTGGTGGCTGTGGTGGCTACACGCCCGGCTGCTTCCATCCCCAGGCAGAGACCATTCGCAGACAGGAGTCAGCTTCTCAGAGCGCCCCCTTCCGGGGAGGAGGCGGCAGGGCACACTAGAAGCTGTACTCCTCCTGTCTTTCAGCTTCAGGCCTGGTGGCGCGGCACTTTGGTCCGGAGGCAAATTGGTAACTTCAAGATGTTCAAGGAGAAAGATGACAGCAAAGACTCAAAAGGCAAAGGCAAAGGCAAGGACAAGAAGAGAGGCAAGAAGTAACTGAGTCCTTCTCGTCCTTTCTCCCAGTGATGTGGAGATGCGCGGGGGTGTTTGGAGTTGAGGATCGCTTGGACACTGCTGGGGAAGGCTACCTGCCTTCAAACCCTGATGACTCAGACTGTGCTACTGATTTAGGGGTTCCTTGGATTCTGGATGTTGCCAGAAGTACATCAGTAGCTTTCTGAAGATGATTCTTTCACAAAAATAGAAAAAAAAAATTGAAAATCAAAACCAGCTCACAAGCCTTTGTCACAGTGATACCTTAATGCATCAGCAATTACTGTAATCTCTCATTCTGACTTTATTCAAAGTGTCCACAGGAAAAACTCTCGTGAGCCAAACTGAGGTATTCAGTAAGAATTACAAGGTAACGCTTTGAAAGTGTCTCACAGATTGCATACAGAGTTAAAAATCAAAATTGGATTTTACTTGCCTTAGATGATCACTTTTTACAGGGATGGGGAGGTACAGCATCCATATCCTGTTACCATTGTTTCCATGTCGTTCCTGGGGCACACAAGGGCACAGCAGTTAGGGACACCAGATACAGATGTGGTGGTTGGACATCCCCGTGGTTGACCCATGGCAGGCGGCAGCACAGTGGGCTACTGGGGTCTGATCTGCTCTGCTGGTTCAGCAGTTCTCAAGGTATAGAGGCTTGGGAACCAAGCACCACAGTAAGTGCAAAGCAGCAGCTGTGTCTGGTACATAGCAAAGATGATGGTTTTGCCTGTGATGCCTTACTCTTTTTTTAATATAAAGATTTCTATTTTTATTGGAAAGTCAGATATACAGAGAGGAGGGGAGCCAGAGAGGAAGATCTTCTATCTGCTTATTCATTTCCTAAGCGGCCACAACAGCTGGAGCTGAGCCAATCTGAAGCCAGGAGCCTCCTCCAGATCTCCTAAGCAGGTACAGGGTCCCTAGGCTTTGGGCTGTCTTTGACTGCTTTCCCAGGCCACAAGCAGGGAGCTGGGTGGGAAGAAGGGCTGCCGGGATTAGAACCAGCGCCCATATGGGATCCCAGCACGTTCAAGGTGAGGACTTTAGCCTGATGCCATATTTTCTGTGACAAATCCAAACAGAATTACCTTGGGGTGCTAAAACTTTCCCTATAGCACTATTGGGTATTGCTAGGAGCAAATTTATCCCAATTTGTCCCAGAGTTCATGAACTCCAAATTGCAGGGCAATCCTTTTTTTTCCTTTGAAAATATTTATTTATTTTTATTGGAAAGGCAGATATACAGAGAGGAGGACAGAGAGGAAGATCTTCCATCTGCTGATATACTCCCCAAGCAGCTGCAATAGCTGGAGCTGTGTCAATCAGAAGCCTGGAGCCTCTTCAGGGTCTCCCACGCAGGTGCAGGGTCCCAATGCTTTGGGCCGTCCTCGACTGCTTTCCCAGGCCACAAGCAGGGAGCTGGATGGGAAGTGTGGCCGCCAGGATTAGAACAACGCCCATATGGGACCCTTTGCAGGCAAAGTGAGGACTTTAGCCGTTAGGCTACTATGCTGGCCCCAGGGCAATCTTGATAACTCCCTTACAGAAGTAAAATTTGATTTGCAAAAACAGTTTTTTCCCATGTTCCTTCTGGAATTCACTACCCTCCTCTTAACCCAGCTCAGCTTGGGTAACCATATGTGAGATACAAAGTTTCAGACATTTATTACATGCTACTGAAGTGTTGGTTTTTATTTTAATGTCAATATGTAAGGTGGCATGCAGGCAATTAAAAATAACATACACGATATTGACATATTTATACTTAGAACATACTATGCAACGTATTTACAGACATACAAATATAGGACAATGCTTTACAAAACTTACTAATTACATGTAACAGTTCCGGAAGTCAAATGAAATCCTGCCGTAAACCATCGCACTGCATTGTGTGTGTAAAGGCTTCTGGATCTCCATGGCTCCCTCGCTTTGACAACCATCGAGGAGGTCTGTTAGTAAGAATTCGTCAGCTACGTCAGCACGTCTCTCACTGCTGAGCTGTGGAGGGCAGGAGGAGCCACAGCCTCTCTGTTGGGTTTCAGAGAGCTGACAGATGGGGGCATGCCTGGCTCCTGAGCCTCTGTACTCTGTCTAGGAGCCACACACAAAAGCCCTCTGTTCCCAGGAGCTGGTTCCAGACGTGGGTGCTAGGAGGGAACGTGGGTTTGTGGTGGTCCTGGAGAGGAGCGGGGCTACCCATGGTAGGTTCTCAGCCTCCTCCTGTCCCGGCTGGCAGGCTCAGCGGGGGCTGCGACCAGGACAGCTTCACCTGTCAGTGGAGTCTACCAAGGCTACATGTGAAACTGAGTTGTTCTTTCCAATCAAAAAAAGTGCACACAAAACACTGAATATAGAAATGTTCTAACAAAAACACTGATTTTTGTATCATGACACAGAAACTCAGTACAGTTGATACTTTCGTGACCAAAACCACACAAGCTTTTCTAACAGTTCAAATGCAAATTTGAATTAGTTCAATAAAAATAATTAAGGTTTCTTGTTATGTGTAAAACTGGAAATGCTGATATTTCCACTTATTTATATGGAAAGCTGTTATAAACGTTGCATTATGTAATTTCTTCTGGAGCCATTCCTTGCACAATGTTAAAGACAGCCCAGTCTTCTCTGCCAAGCCTCATTTCCAGTGGTGCCCTATAATTTGGAGATTGTACTGAGGCTTAATGTTGACTGGAAGGAAAAACACCTACATTAAAACCACTAAAGCTTCAATGCTAGGTTAGGTGAGTTCCGTGGTCAGAGGGTCTGACTGCAACTGGAAACACACCGGGCCCAGCTCTAAGGGCTCCGAGGCCCTCCACCTGGGTCCTGTGCACAGCTTGCAGGCCTGGGCTTTGCTCTCGGATGCTCCATGTGACATGATGCTAAGTCTGCAGCAAGTGGTAATGTGCTACTGAACAGGTTCCTCTCAGGAACCAAAGCTACTTTTCGGTGCTACATTCACATGCTAAATAGATGGATAACATCATGTTCAAATACATGCACTGATAAAGAAAATCCAAAACAGTTAACAACTAGAGAAAAGGACCAAGGTGACTTGTGGGCTGACAACTGAAGTGGGGGAGCGGTGTTAAAGGACAAGGGGAAGCTTGAACAGAGGCTCAAGAATGTGCTCTGCCAGCCCTTGGCCCCTTCTCTCCCACCTTCAGCTGAGAACAGAGGGTACAGTGGTGGAACCAGAGGAGGGGCTAGACCCAAGGACAGGAAGGCGTTTGTAAGTGCTCTTAGTTACTTGAAAGAAGGATAGGAAACTTGACTTTGGGTTTCTTCCTTTTTACTCTGTTTTCATAACTTTCCTTGGTGGTACGAACTGGACCTGTCCCTGTGGTGCCTGGAATGTGGTTGCAGGTTCATGGGCCCCAGGAACAGCAGGGCAGAGCTGGCTCAGAGCCCATGGTACTCTAAGAACTCGCAATCTGAGGAGGATGCTGTTGTTTAACTAGGTGGCTACACTGGGCCCCGTCCTCAAGATATGAACACTCAGTGGTGGACCAGAATGGCCAGGCCTGAACATTGGCCTAAATACAACTCTCTTAGGGTTGTTTTTTCCTCTCCTTCCGGGAAATATAGGCCTTTTATATTATTTTTGTTTTGCCCTTGACAGAATAACCCAAGTTTTTATTACATAGCTGCTCATTTTGAATGTTGCTCTTGACTACAGTAAATAAATTATTCCCTCACCTCCATTAAACCACAGCAACATCTGACTTCAAATAGTGGTTCCCATTGCAGGAAACAGCTGGAATGTCAGCTGAGAATGCCAAGGCCCAAGCCCTACCCAGACCTGCTGATTGAGGATCTGTTAACTCCAGGAGAGTTGAACGAACAGCCAGCTTTACAAACCCGTGGAACCCAGCTCACCGGCCTGTGTAGACAGCAGAGTGGCTGAGCCTCGCAGCAAGCGCGGCATCTTGTTCTCCAGCAAGGCATGGCCACTCTGGGCTTCCACGTTGGGTTCTCGGTCATGACACAAGTTTCATGGGAGAAAAACCAAATGGTCTTCCTAAAACTATTCAATGCAAATGGATATAACCTCCCCTAAAATGGAGAAATGAAGTCAAATATTCCTGTTAGGAATCATGGAAACAGTCCCTCCTAAGAACACGTAATAGCTTTGTTTAAGCAGGCAGCTGGCAGCAGCAACCGCAACGTCCCGTTCCTGGTTTTGGCCAGGCCGATGCCAAGGTCCCGGAGTCCTTACACAGCAGATAATGGGTGCTGCTGATGCTTGGGCGGGGCGAGTTCCAGGAGAGCCTGGACTGTCACTGCCACCTGGCTCAGCCCTTTCTCTTCTAAAATGTGGAGAGGCAAACATAATTGCTCCTAAAATGGGACAACGACATAACATAAAAACAAACAAAAGAGAAAATAAAATGAACACCACAGAACTGAAAGGAAAAAAATAAACACTTCTCCCCTCCAGGCTAACCAGCTGAACAGTGTGCAAGTCAGTCCCTGGGAAGTGGAGCTCTGTCGATGGAGTTATGCAGAAATCATGCCTGACACTATCACTTTATTAATACAACTCCGACTACACAGAGATCACTGCGAAAACTGACAGGTACCACACACACACACTTACGCACAGTATTGTGGAGTTAAAGCAACGTCCTTATCTCTTAATAAATAACAGACCACGTTGTAGATGCAAACTAAGCAAGTGAAACAGAAAACAAGTTCCAAGATTCCAGGTGGCTCAAGGATGAAAAATTCACGTTTTCAGGAGACAGCTTCTGGAGAAGACAGGCCGCAGGAATGTCAGGTGTTTCTGTCACAGCGCTCTAGCCCCACAGTGTCCACTGTGGGGAAGCAGGGCCATTGGCCCGGCGACATCACAGGATAGACCACATCGCAGGCCGAGGTCTACCTGAGACACTGTCCCTTTATTTGGATAATTCATGGAAGGCATAGCCAGATTAGTGAAAACTCAGATTCATAAAATTAAATTGTATCTGAAAGAGGACAGTATTTCACATCCTTGGTATTTTTAAAGGGATTAAACTATGCTGGGGAACAATTATTTGAGTTTATTAAAGACAGGAGCAATGTGTGAAAAATGTTTACATGTTTCCTAAGGGATGTTAAATGTATTTCTCCTGTTTGCTTCATTACCATGTCTGGTTAATTCCAGAATTATATGAGGAATAACACTTATCATTGGCCTTTCTGTTAAGAGTACATATTTAAAACAGATTATTTCCATAAAGAACAGAAAGTAGAATTCTGGCTCCATGAAGAAAGAGATTACACAGATTTATTAAAGAACATTAATTGAATTTTCCCCAGCTTTTCTCTGGTACCCACTGTGTTACTAGAAAGTTTTATAAAACCAGTTGTAACCAAAAAGTACTTATTTTTGAGGCAGTAATTTCTAGTTACTACTCCTACTGCGACACCAAGCTAGCTGCAGTCTTCTGCCCTGTGCTCCAAACACACCTGCAGGTGCAGACCACAATCCAAGTCCACGTGCAGGGTTCTGATCTGGGAGCAGAACTGCTTGTTCCAAGGCCAGCTTCCTGATCTCAGCACTCGCTGGTGGGACCCAGTGGCATCTATGTCTCTGACAGGCATGTCCAGTTCTGACTTAGAGGGGATGCAGTTAACTCCTTTCTAAGTCACACTTGGCCTGTGTGGTAAACAGGTACTTGGTTTTAACTCAAAATGATCACTGACTTAGAGATATCTTAGAAATGAAGGCCGGAAGGCACTGCTACTGTACAAAAGCAGTTTTCATCCCAGTGTTGAGTGCTTCTGCATGAACACTGCCAGTCTGGAGACGTATCAAGGAACTGTTAAGTTTAAAATGCCAGGAAACTAACCAGTTACTCTGGGGCTGAATTCTCTGACCGGATGGCATAATCTATGCAGTCTCCCTTCATTCCTGACTTCAGTTAGCCAACTCTGTTAACAGGTCAGAGGATTCCTGCATGTTCAGATACTGCTAGTGACAATCAGACTGTGAAGGCAAGGATAAAGTGGTTTTAAGCACTTGTGGTCCAGTAGCTAATCCTGAGGGTTCTGGGACAGACAGACAGAATTTATTGGCTTCGGTATGGAACAGAGACCGTGGCTCAGTACTTCACCTATTACTGTTCAGATATAATCTCAAAGTCCAAGTTCACCTGTTAAAATGGCTCAGATACATTAATACTTACATAATGCTAATTTCTAAACTTTATACAATTCTAGAAGTGAATCTAAGTTAAGGGTAACAAACAGTGAATCCGGACAGGTGCCTGCTGTGCACTGCATGTTAAATGTGCACCAGGGGTCAGAACAGCAGCCAGGGAACCGACATGATCTCGACGTTCAGCATTCTGACCAAGTTAAAATGATTAAGTACCTTCCAACTGTCCAGAGAACAAATTCCCTGTGCCCACCACTAAAAGGAGAGGTTGAGCATTTCAGGGCACAGTGCCATGCCAAGTTCTCAGTGTTTGGGGTCCCTTCCACCCCCAAAACCAGGAAAAACAGGACTCTTCCTTAGGAGTTGCTGTTCAAAAGGCGCAGCCATTCACAAGTTCAACACTACTGTTGTGTTAAGGCATAGAAACAGGTCAGATGGGGTTTTCCTGTGTCATCTGGAAATCAAGCTTTCTGTGTCATATTTCAATAACAGATTTACCATCACTTCAATAGAAATGCTTCAGCGTTTATGAGAACCAAGGCCACAGGCCAGGGGAATGGAGAAGTGACCAGGAGGAAAAACGCCAGGCTTCTGCTCTCTGGCAAATGTGACTGCTGTGTAGATGTGGAAGGAGAGGATGTACCTACTCCACTGGTAGGTTAGGAGACAAAGAAGCCGGCACATGTGTAAATAATTCTGGAGGAGCGCCAAACCTCCTTTTCAAATCAACGGACAGGAACCTTGCAGCTAGCGGGGGAAGACCCAGTAATAGAGCATACAGAGAGATAACATTAAAGTACAATAAAATGCCACAAAACCCAAAAGCTGGACAGACAGAGAGACAAAACTGGATTCTTCTGAATGTGCCCCAAGGGAAAGCAGTGTTTCAACAGTTCTTTTAACGCGGAGGTTTAGCTGAAGGATGTCGGAAGGGGAACAAAGATTGTCCTGTCCAACGTGTGAGCAGGAAAGGAAAAAAGAAAAACAAAGTCAGTGGATCAGAAATGCAGCGTTCAGTACAGAATTCAACAAGTTCAGCATGGAATTGCATCAATCATCAGATACACATCCTCAACGCTGTTACTGTGACCAATGACAATAAAAAACAAAATTACAAACACTCCTCTATTTCCTGAGCTGGCTTTTGGTCTTAAACAGCAGAACATTTGCTTGTGGGTGAGCACTCTGAGCATCCAGCAGACAGCTAACAATGGCTGCTGGCATGGGGGTGAGTGAGGTCTGCGAGGGGTGAGGTCTGTTTGAGGCCACCCCTTTCTTCATTCACTTTTCCTTGTTAATGAAGAAAGGACACATCAGAAAGCAGAAACACCATTTGGGGCAGGCAGAGTGAGGCAAGTTTTCTGAGAAAACCAGGTCAGCCAAGAAAGCCAAAAGAGTAAGGAAATATTAACTGGGGGAAGCCAAACAGAATGAACTGTGTTCCTCTGTCTCTCAGGTCGCCTCCATCTGAGCTAAGGTCAGTGGTATGAACCAAATGAATGGAAAGACCAAGGCTCCCGGAACCATCCCAACTCTGCTTCCACGGATTAAGAAATTCCATAAATTAATAAATACAATGCTAGATTAAGTAAACCAAGAAAAACAACACTAGGCTCGATAACAAGAAAATAGTCTTTAACGCACGATATGTAATAACTCTAGGGTAGAGTCTGGATTCAAGTACATATCTCTGCTATCCATCCTGGTTGTTTTGGATGTAGCATGTTTAATAAAGTCACAGAACTAAAGGGACTATCCTTACGCCCAGTCTCATCTGAGGTTATTCATTAGTGCTTCACTCAGAATTTCACTTGCCTAATGATTTAAAAGTTCTGAGAAAGGAAACTGCCTTTGTACATGTTATCTGGGCACAGAATCTGGATAACACTGAGTTTTCTGTTTCTTATTTTCAAAAAAGGGATCATTACTATCTCCCTGATTTTATTTTCAAGCAGACAGTCAAGAGGGGATGTTTATGCCAGAATGCCCAGAGGCAAGGAGCCCAGAGGCAAGGTGCAGGCAGAGGTGTCTGTTCTCTTCCAGGCACAGGGATCTGGGAAGGCCAGTCTGAAGTCGTTTCCCTTCCCTCTGTCTAGACAAGTGACTCAGTTTTCAGCAGAAGTAGTCATATGATGAGAACCCACTAGAAGTTGGTACTGGTGGTGCTACTGGTGGCAGTGGCAGGGACTTGGGTAAAAGGCAGAAGAGGTGGTTGCCATAGAGTGGCCACTTCCTCTCTCTGGTATAGTAGAGGGAGAGGAAGGAAGTATGTGTTTAAAACCCCAGACTAACCACTGTGGAAAAAGACTTAGCCTTTTAAAATTTCATTTTTTCTAAATCTGTACTTGGCTTTGAATAGTATAATTCTGGTATGTCAGGGAAGGCATTAGTAGCTACCACTTAGTAAAGGCTGACCTCGATGTATGTTTGAAGGCACACACATCCTGCATTCTGTGGCTGATGGCAGGAATATTATGAAAGAACAGTTGTGATGATTGTAAAGCCCCTGGGTGGGGGAAGGTGACACTGCCGTAAGAGCTGTCAGAGACTCAAGCAGGGTTTGACACAGGTGGAATTAGCACGTCTTGCTTGTGGGACTCTTTCCAGCACCTTCTCTCTACCTGAGCAGGCCTCTGGACACTCCTGCCTCTGCAGCTTGAATTTGCTGCACCAAGCCTTGCTCCATTCTAATTTTTAAATTTTTTATTATTAATTTTTTAGACTTATTTACTTGAAAGGAAAACAAGAGAGGGGGAGAGAGAGCTTTTCTATCCATTTCCATCCACTGGTCACTGGTATGATCAGAGCCAGGCCAGTGTGAAGCCAGGAGCCAGATATCTCCTCCAAGTCTCCCACATGGGTGCAGCAGCCTACTCTCGGGCCCTCTTCCATTTCTCTTCCAGCTGATTAGCAGGGAGCTGGATTGGAAATGGAGCAGCTGGAACTTGAGCTTGAGCTCATATGGGATGGCAGAGAACACTTTACCTGCTATGTCACAGTGCTGACCCCGTGCCCCACTGTTTTGTTCAGAGACATCGTAGTCGAGAGTTAGAGCAGAGACTGGGATGGCTGAGTAACAGCAGATGTTAACGTGCACATGTGAGCATCAGAACCACTTGTTAATAATGAAGAATCTGCATGCTATTTTTTTAGAAGGCATATTCTTGGCATATTTAAAAATGGCTTGTCAGAAAAGAGATGATGAACCCATATAAAACAGTATGAAAGAAAAATGAAAAACTTGCTTTGGATAGCAGTGAAAAACGGCTACTTGTTAAAAACTACTTTGTGTTCATTTCATTCATTTTATAACTGCGCCTTAGAAAAGGAAAACAACAACAACAACAAAAATACGTAACAACTAAGTATCTGAATGAGTTCTACTTGGACAAGGAGAAAAGCAACGCTGGCACCCTATGGAGCGGGGCCCTTGGTCCTCCACTTGGAAACATGAGAAAGAGCTCAGCAGAGCAGCTGCTCACTGGACCAATGGTGCAGTGTCCTTCTCAGCCCCTGGGCAGTCACAGAGGGCTGCTGCAGCTGGGTAGAGGGCAGGTGGCCCTCCCAGTACTGGGACGAGGGTCTGACCTCAAGACACATGGCACTGCTGATAAATCCAGAAGGCAATCCTGAGTTTCTGACAAGTAACCAAAAAGGTGACATAGGAGTCAAGTTTTTCCCCTTGCAAGATACATAAAACATTACAAAAACTGTAATGGATGTGGTTAATGGGAAAAATATCAATCAAGTTGTACATTTTAAAAATGGCTCTTACAGTATTTTATTAAATATAACATTCCTTAAGCGTATTATGCTGTGAATTTAATAGAATTATTTTTAAATGAATAACTGAACAAAAATAGAATCATCTATACATAAAAGTCCACAATTTGTACAATTCAAAATGCGTAAGTTGCCACAGCAGGACAGTACTTAGAAATGCCCTCTTGTATGCTAAACTCCACAGTATTAGATTTCAGCTGAGCAACGGGTGAAATGGGAATGAAATCTGTAATTATTTCGGTGTTACTTTAGTTTATTGACTAATGGTTACACCAGATGTTAACATTAGCATAAACTGGGTGAAGCATACACAGGAACTCTTATTTTCACAGCATTTTTGGAAGTTTAAAATTATTTCAAATCAAACATTTAAAAAAAAAATATTTCCTAAATATTTTTTTAAAAGCTGATAGCAACTGAAACATTCTTAAAATGAGATGTACTTATTTTGAAGGTACATTCTGCTACATATGCGATTATAGACAAATCAGGCAAGCCAGCTGGAATGCAGTAGAAAACAGAATAAATAATATTTTTGATTACTTATTACGCATAAATACTATACACATTTATATATGATGTCATATACATAAATCATATAAATATTATATCAAATTTGTATATTTATTAATGGTTCTTGAAAATAAAGAACTGATCAAAAGTAAACGACTGGCTTTTGTAACCTTAGTAACAACCTCCTTAGTTCAATGCTAGTTTTTAACACTCCAGTGATTTGCTCTCTCTGTATTTTTAGTACAATGATACCCAGTCTATTTTAGGAACATAAAAATGGACAAATGTATTACCTGAGGTACACCAATTTTTCTGCAAGCTTCTAGGAAATTCTCTACATTTCGCCTGCATTTTGCCATTGTTAATTTAGGCTACAATGAGAAAAGGAAGAAAGGAAAATATGATGTTAGCAGCACATAAAAATATTTCTTAACTTTAAAAAGCCTTTTACCAACTGCAGGCAACTAAACTTTCTTAAAAGATCAGGTAGTTGGACCTGGTGCAGTGGCCTAGTGACTAAAGTCCTCGCCTTGAACGTGCTGAAATCCCATATGGGTGCCGCTTCTAATCCTGGCAGCTCTGCTTCCCATCCAGCTCCCTGCTTGTGGCCTAGGAAAGCAGTCAAGGATGGGCCAATGCCTTGGGACCCCGCACCTGCAGGGGAGACCCAGAAGCAGCTCCTGGCTCCTGGCTTCGGTTTGGTGCAGCTCTGGCCGTTGTGGTCACTTGGGGAGTGAATCATTGGACGGGAGATTTTTTCTGCCTCTCCTCCTCTCTGAACATCTGACTTTTCAATAAAAAGAGAGAGAGAGAGAACTGTCCCAGCCATTCAGTTCTGCTGGGAGCCTGAGGCAGCGCAGGCAGTGTAGTACATATACAAACAAATGTGGTTATGTCCCAATGGAAGTTTATAAAAGCAGGTGCCAGCTGGTGGGCAGCAGTTTCCCATCTCATACTTTTGAATATTTGCCTTTGATTTTTGCAAGTCAAGTACTAAAGTAGAGAAATTCTGGGGAAATAGTTTAAAAATACTTTTGACTTTTAAGAATTTACTTATTTATTCCAAAGGTAGTGTTGTATAGAAAGAGAGAGACAGAATCTTTCATCCCATGGTTCATGCCCCACATGGCCACAATGGGGGTGGGCCAGGATGAAGTCCGGAGCCTAGATCTCCTATGTGGGTGCAGGGACCCAAGCACCTGAGTATCTGCTGCTGCTTTCCCTGGTGCATTAAGAGGGAACTGGATCAGAAGTGGACAGGTGGGACCCGAGCTGCCAATCCTTTGAGATGACAGGGTCATGGAAGGCTGCTGAATCTCCAGTGTCGCAAGGCTGGCCCCTCTGTTTTTCCCCAATTTAAAACCAATATACACCATATAAAACTTAGAGGAATAGCAAGAAAATTAATTACGTGCAGTCCAGAAATAAAATTAAGCATATTTAGTACTTGGTTCATCTTCTTTTAGTCTTTTCAGAAGAAGGTAATTAAAACACATACACACACACCCAATAGCGTTTGTTCATTATGTGTCACTCAACCTCCACAGAGTTCCAAAAAGAACTTTTGGCAGGTACTAAACCTTCCTTATGCTACATCCTTCTATACCTGATGTAAAAAGTTTAAAATCAGACAACAAAAGAACTAAGATAAACTTAACAGAACAAAAACAATGGGGGTTCACACTGGCTAATTCACACCAGTTTAAGGTCATTCTTTTTCCACTTTCACATGTTCAAAAAGTAAGAGTTACTGGGCATTGGCTTTCTCAGCTCCTGGCTGCTGGAGACAAGGTGGGAGGATAAAGTAAACTGCGACACGACAGGAAACAACTGGGCCAAGAGCTTCACTTCAACAGAACTGGGCAAATAAAGACAAATCATAACTACTACTTTTCACCTAAAATTCGTTTGCTAGAAGCCTTCTCTCCACATACCAGGTTCCCCTGCTTGCTTTGCAGAAATAATCTAACTCGTTTCTCTTCTTAAGAAGTGAGTGTAGCAAAGCCAGGCAGGACTCAACTCCAAACCTCAGAGAGGCTGGAGATGTCTGGGGCAACTGGTTCTGGTAAAAGAGGATTTCATGCTTCAAAAGGGAGAATCCTAAACTTCTAAAATTTAATCATTCAAAGGCAGAAAAAAACTTTCTATACAGAAGAAAGAATGGTTTCACAATGCTAAGTGAAGAACCGGTCCAAGAACCACCACTACCTCATACTGTAATGGGGTGCAGCCATTGATGGCCCACACCCGCTTGTCAGGTTAATTGATGGGACAGGGTGCAAAAACAGAGTTTCTGCACCCCACACGAACTACATTGTCTTGCACCATCCAAGTTAACTGCAGGTGCAAAAAGCGCACCTGACAGGGAGGAAATTATTCCGGAGGCTCTGTGCACCTGGCCTCTCCTGCCCGAAACTTTGTATTGCGTAGCTCTCAATCTGGAGGATGAGACCTTTTTTTTTTTTTAACCTTTTTTTATTTTTATTGCAAAGTCAGACATACAGAGAGGAGGAGAGATGGAAAGGAAGATCTTTTGTCCGATGACTCACTCCCCAAGCGGCCACAACTGCTGGGGCCGAGCCAATCCGAAGCTAGGAGCCAGGAGCTTCTCCGGGTCTCCCACATGGGTGCAGGGTTTGAGCACTTTGGGCCATCCTCGTCTGCTTTCCCAGGCCACAAGCAGGGAGATGGATGGGAAGCGTGGCTGCTGGGATTAGAACTGGCGCCCATATGGGATCCTGGCGTGTGTAAGGCGAGGACATTGGCTGCAAGGCTATCACACTGGGCCCCCTGGTTCACTTTTATAAAACTGTCCCTGCTGTGCTTATCTACACCAACTGCTTGATCCATCACGGATAACTTAATTCTTTGAATATGGTGTGGCTTCCTTAAGCTTCTAAATCTAGGAATATGATGACCAAAACGTATTTCTCCCTCTCTGTAGGGCAGGAAAATCACCAGTTATATTCCCAGAACCAGTACAAATTTTATCCCCCCTTTCTAAAAAGAATTTTCTGAATATTCTAGAGCAGAGTGGAATAACCTTCTCTCAGTGTTCCCATAACATACATTTCTTTTGGCTTTTATCATAGGCTGTAAGTTATTGTTTACAAGTCTATCTTTTCTCCAATAGAAGTGAGTAGAGAAAAGGAAGGCAACTATATCACCGACATAATGTCTGCTATTGTGCTTAATAAATGATAAACAGTCAACATTTCTTGGCATCATAAACTTACTACAGCTGGTGACGGAACGTGAATGCTGGGGACAGATCGAGGCCGCACGTGGTTGGCCAAATGACAAAGGACAACACCATCGGTCAGAGCTGCTCCAAGATCACATGGCAGGGATACTTTCAACCGGTACTCAATATGCTACAGGAGCAGGAAAAATGTAAGCATGGAGAGTGATTAACACGTAGGACATAATGGGGATAGCTGCCACTACAGCTAACCAGAAATCAAGATAAAAAGGTAATCACTTGAGCACCACAATCTATACTTTACTCTTATAACTTAAGGAGATCCAGTGTTGACCAGGATGTACATTTGCATGTCAGTATGACAGGTATGCATGTACATGCAAATAATTTATTATTATCACTCTTTTAACATTTGTTTATAACATGAGGCAGAAAGCAAAAGAACAAATTTGTGCATGAGTATGTCTGAGAATGAAGCTTTACAGAGTAATTCACACCTCATTTTCTTAGAAAAAGTTAAAAAAGATTTCCTTAATGGATAAATTTCTTTCATATTCCTCAGAAAACACAGCACACAGGGATGCTTATTTGTTCTATTAATAATTGTGTGCCAAATGAACAAGTGATCTCGGGACTTGAGGTTATGGCAGATCACTGAAAAGTGTAATTCAAAGTAATGTACATACTTTCCGAAGTTGCTCAATTAACTTCAGCTCTTCCTCTCTCTGTCTCGTTATGGGATCTGCAGAATCAGTGGCAAGTACAGAGGATGGAAGAAGGGGTGAAGCACGACCTAGAAAAACAGTAATATATAAAATGTGGCAAGGCAACGCCCAATGAAAGGGAAAATATTTGGGTTTGCCTAATCAGTTTCTTTGTGAGTATATCAATATTTTGTGGGTTGACTTTTCAAAAGAGATTTTATTATGTAAATTTACAAATATAAACAATAATAGGGGAAAACTTCAAAATATCTATTATCTATTTGGCTTAAATACTTAAAGGAAATACAGAGAAAACTACATGAATCACAGAAGTGAAGAAATTACCCTCACAATGTGAACAAAATCAGGTGCATGCAACACTGCCGATGTCCAAAGGCTATCCCAAGTGCCCTGCCCAATTTTATCCAAAAGTTACCACCAGCTGCCACCATGCATAAGTTTTTTCCATTTTTCAATTTCCTTTAAACTAAGCCATGTTGCAAGTATTCTGCTGTCTGGCCTCTTCTGAGCAGTATTAATGTTTATGAGACCTAAATAGGTTGCTGAATTTATTAATTTGTTATTTTTATTGCCTAGATGTACTCTATTGTACAAATAAATTACAATTCACTTACCTATTCCTCTGTTGGACATTCTCTTTGGGGCATGACAAATGGCTCTGCTAGATCTATTTGTACTTTTAGTATACTTGTGTACATACTTGTGAAAGTAAGACTGCTTGTGATAGGGTATAGAAATGGACATTAGCAGATAAAGCAAACAGTTTTCCACACTAAGTACATCAGCAGTGCACTTCTGGCTTGATTTTTCAATCTTACTGGAAGTGCACCTGTCAGTAACATCTAAAGTAGCTATTTTTCACTTGAAACATTTGATCTCAGTTCCAGGTAACTTCTTTGACTGGCTGTGTCATATTAAGAACATGTGATCTTTAAGTAGATTTAAAAAAAAATCACGGATTCATTAAGAACACAAACTGCTTTCTAACAACACAGAAAGAAAAACAGAAAGAGCTCATTACAAAGATAGTGTCCTCACAAGCCTTGAAGCAGCATGTTCTTTGTTCCCTCCACCACCTGCTTTTAGGCAGTACAAAGCAAGCCTTGCCTGGAACAAATTCTCGAAAGTCTTCTTGACGTAAAGGAGCAATTACAGATGAACGCGGAGTTGTGGGACGTTCTAATCGCCCCTGCTCCCTACCCGCCCACCCTCTGCCTCTTCAAATCCATCACCTGCCTTGGTTTGCTTCTGCCCTGCCAGGTGCTCGGAAAAGGAAGCTTTCAGGGCGTGGGGGTGGATTTCTCTGGCCAGCAGCAGGAAAAGGATATGCAGAGGAATGATGAACTAAATCAGTGATGAAAAGCAAAAAATGGGATTAACGGACAACAGAAGAAAACGAATGTGGACATACATGTCACAAAAGCTCAGTATGTAGCACATAAAGAAAAAAATCTAATATGGCAATGGTATAAAATGGTAATTATTTATGGAAAGCCATGTATAGAAAAGTTATGCTGAAAGTGTGAAGGGTGACTATATGAGTTTTTAATCTCCATGTTATTTCTGGTACAGCAATAAATAAAGAATAATTGCTAATATCCCAAACACAGCCTTTGCAACTTTATAGCCCTCTTAGCTCATGCTCATTTGTTCATACCAAAGAATTGCACAATTGAACAATCAGTTGAGTTTAAAAAATGGAAAAATACACAGTTTTCAGTTTCACTGCTGATTTCTCAAAGAAAAAAGAGGGCCAATGCTGTATAAGGAGTAATTTCTCAGAAAAATTCTACTAAAGAATTTTAATAAAAATTCTACTAAAAATTTTAATCTTGATATGGGTAATTGCATCTTTATGTCTGTTACCTGTTTCTGTTGTAGGTGAACTTGAAATAGCACTAGATCTGCCATCAATCTGTGGAGAAACAGAGATAAATCAATAATAACTCAATAAGAGATATGAGGGTACTTCAATATGTTAATGAAAAAATGGAAATTAAAAGAAAAGTTTATTCTGATGCAAAAACATTTTGAAATTCATGCTATTTTTTAAATAACACATTTTTTTTTTTTCATGAGTTTAAAAAACCCCTTTGTAGGGCTCAGCACAGTGGCATAGCAGCCTGATCCACCTGAAGCACCAGCATCCCATATGGGAACCAGTTTGGAGTCCTCGCTGCTGCACTTCCCATCCAGCTTCCTGCTACTGGCCTGGGAAAGCAGTGAAGGATGACCCAAGTCCTACGTCCCTGCACCCATGTGGGAGACCCAGAAGCAATTCCTGGCTCCTAGCTCCTGACCAGTCCAGCTCTGGCCATTGTAGATACTGGGGTATGAACCAGCAGACGGACACTCTCTTTCTTCTTTCTCTTAGCAACTCTGACGTTTAAATAAAAAAAAAAAAAATCTTTAAAACACATACAATGTTTAAAGATAAAAGATTCCTTTGTATGCATGGATTTCAAAATGGTTAAACACACACACACACACAAAATGCCTCTTAATGCTATTTTTTGCAAATTTTAAAAATTTGTTCCATGCACATTTAGGTAATTTGGGGATTGTATATTTAAAAACATGTAACTCTCCTTCAAAATTAATCCAGAGACGCAAATTTGATGAAATTAGTAATGTAGAAATTTTTTTTAAAAACCTAGATTTCCCTTTTAGTTGTTTTTATGCAATGCATATTCTCTAATGGGCCTTTCTTAAGCCCTCTTATAACGGTCATCCTAACACAAGAAATTTCTCAGAAAATATATGTAATATACAAAACAAAGTTTTTCTAGTAATATTTCTCTGAAATTATTTCTAAGGTATTTCTTTTCTAGAGAATAAAATTTAATGTTTTAAGAAAATGTGATGTAGTTTCCTTAATTTAATGTGGAAAAGTGTGTTTAAGATATTACAGATATATATATATATATTTTTAAAGATTTATTTATTTTTATTGCAAAGTCAGATACACAGAGAGGAGAAGAGACGGAGAGAAAGCTCTTCCATCCACTGATTTGCTCCCCTAGTGGCCGCAATGGCCAGAGCTATGCTGATCCAAAGCTAGGAGCCAGGAACTTCTTCTGGGTTTCCCACAGGTACAGGGTCCCAAGGCTTTGGGCTGTCCTCGACTGCTTTCTCAGGCTACAAGCAGGGAGCTGGATGAGAAGCGGAGCTGCCAGGATTAGAACCGGAGCCCATATGGGATCTTAACACGTGCAAGGCAAGGACTTTAGTCACTAGGCCACTGCTCCAGGGGCACAAATATATTTCTTAAAACAGTACTTGAAACTAAGTTGTCTTCAACTTACTGAGCAAGAGAACTATATAAGCTAGGTAAACTGGCATAAATTCTTCTTCAAAAGGGTAACTATAGTCAAGGCAACTAAAAAGCAAATCTTTACTGGATGGTTTAAAAATGCTAAAGACTTGGGTAGAAAATTGAATCAACAAAAGCCAGAGTAACAAATTTTTATGGCTGACACTCAATTAAATTTAGATATAACTCTTACCATATAATAACTGAGACATTTCTGAACTAAGAACACCATTAAAACTAACCTGTGCATACATCTGCTTCCATGTTCCATTCTCTTTGGGTTCAATAATTTCTAAAATCTTATGTCTAGTTGAAATTGGGTCAGACAAAATTAATGGCCAAGAACTTAAACTACTAATGAAGGGCATGGGCATTTACTTTGTTAGGTAGGGTTCAATGCCCATGCCCAAAAAAGTATGTAGGCTCCTGCCACCCATGCGGGAGACCCTGAAGCTCTTGGATCTTGACTTTGACCTGGTCTGGCCCAGGCTGCTGTGGTCATCTGGGAAATAAAATAGGAGATGGAAGAGGTCTCTATGTGTCTCTGAAAGCTCTCTCTCTGAGTTTTTTCTCTCTGTAACACTGATGTTCAAGTAAATAAATAAATCTTTTTTGAAAGGTATTTTTAAACTAAAAATTTTGAAATCCATGTATAGAATTTTCATCATTATGTTTTTTCCATGAACATTTTTGAAGACTGTGTAAAGCTGGCTAACCTGGAAGAAATCCGTTTTTTTTTTTAAATGAGTCACCCAGGTATGTATGGCTTCTTCAATGATGACCAGAGACAAGGTTCATCAGGTTTCAGATGCTGTGAATTGAGGGTGGGGTGGAATGATGGTAGTATTTAGAAGGACATTAGGTAAGAATTTGAAATATTCAAGTAATCAGAGAAGAAACACTGTCGAGCAGGCAAATTAAATGTATGGGAAAAACAGACATGGGAGATGAAAATTACAACCACATTTGAGAATGAGAATATACAGCAAGCATTATGTGTTCCAAAAACTGCAAAGCCCAATCTAAACTCAAATTTCACACATGTGAAACAATCGTGCTTACAGATCTGCACCAGGCACATTGCAGGGAGGGATGTGGTCCTGGGTGGGACCGGGGAGCCAAAAAGGAAGGTAGAGAAACTGTGAAAGTTCAATCAGGTTAACAGACAAGGAAAAAGGCATGTAGAAAGATCTAAGTTCATTTACGGAAAGTCAATGATAGCATCGTAATTATCTTAAGCACAGAGATTCCTTTTTTTTTTTTTAATATGTATTAATTTTTATTAGAAAAGCAGAGGAGAGACAGATGAAATCTTTCTTCTGCTGCTTCACTCCCCAAGTGGTTGCAATGGCTGCAGCTGGCAGGTCTGCAGCCAGGGACCAAGAGCTTCTTCTGGGTCTTCCACACAAGAGCAGGGTCCCAAGGACCTGGACCATCCTTTCCTGCTTTCCCAGGCCACAAGCAGGGAACTGGATTGGAAGTGAAGCAGCCGGGACTGGAATTGCAACCCAAATGGGATGCTGGCAAAAGGCTTAGCCTGCTATACCCCCACAGTACCCCAACAGATTTCTTACAAAAGGATTGTTATTTAAGTAGAAAATTTCCATGTTGGAAAGAAACAAAAAAAACAATATAAATTAACTTATGACTGATATCAGAAAAAAAGAGAACTTTTTTGACAGAATTATCAATCATTTCTTATATAGCTTATGACAGTAAATACACAATTACCCTGTCTTCAAAAACTAAGATATAATGGAATTATTTTAGAATCTAGATTTAATTTTTAAGGCAATTTCTTTCTTAAGTGGAAAAACAGTAAATATGTTAGGCTTGTAAATTGTATGAACTTTGTCACAATTATTCTAATTATTACTATGAAAGTAGACATGGACAATATAAAAATAAAAGGAGCTGATTGAACTAATACACTTCATTTATCAGAACACGTGGCCTTGGGGCCTCTCAGTCTGCTGATTCCTAGTGTGGGGTATTTTGGCAGTGATGGTTCTACAAACTTGGACTCAAATTATTTTGCAGATGCAACAGACAACAGTTACTTTAAATTTATGCATATTATAACTGAAGTGAAACAACCCATGACCAAGAACAGCCTTTGACAAGAACATCAGAAGGACATTTCAAACAGAATCTGAATGTAAAAAATTTGTGTAAGCTCTGTGACTCTCTGGTATTTCAAAAACTTCAAGTGGAATGAATGTTAAATAGTTTCATGAGCTTATACTGCAGTCTTAGAATTCAGAGTATTGCTAGATCAACCCCCTGCGACATTTAAGACCTCCCTTAACCTCTGCTCCCCAAATGTGCAGGCGCATTGCAGTAACACGGAGTACCTTAAGAGGGGTGAAGGCTGAAGAATGGGACAGGGCGCCAGCAGCGCAGCTCACTTGATTCAAATCTGACAGCGACTAAATTTCCAAAGAGAAAGACAAGAAACAGAAGGGGCCTTTATGTCAGCGCCATGTCAGACAGGCAGATCATGTCCATGACATTAGAAAAGCAGAGATATTTCACTGACATACTCTCAGGTGGTTGCTTAAGATACTCATAGGACAGGAAACACTGGGGGGGAGAAACACCTCAAAACTGACACAACATAATTTTCTTCACCTGTATAATTCAGGATTTTCTCAACAGCTTATACCATTTTAACCAAAAAATGAGAAGTATAATTTATTAAAAATGAGTTTGTGAAGAAATAAAGCTGAGAACAGCAACATTTTTAGGAAAACGCTGTGCTGATCCTAGCATAGGACAGACAAATCCGTCACGGGGCTTCTTCTAACTGAGCAGAGCTGGCATGAATAACAACAGAATTATAAAAGATCAGTCTAAATTAATCATAGCTCAATTCAGAGGCTGGGATGTGGACAGGACTTGGGGCCTCTGCCTGACGCCCTGAGGGTGAACTCGCCTTTCTACCCTGTGAAATTCTGCACGGACCTGTCAGAGGATGAGGTGCAATCTCCCTTTTGAGTCCTTCTCCTTTCATCAATGGACAACTAATTCCATCTATTAAGGGATGCAGCTGGCAATCCTAGTGTAGACTCTCTTGTGCTAGTGTCTCCAGACACATAGAAAAGACACAAGATTCATATTACTGTCAATTAAAAATAAGAAATAATGTCTGATATATAAGTTTGATATCAGATAGGAGATTTAAAACACCACAATTTTCTCATTTGCCACATGGGGAGTAGAAAAGACAGACTGATAAAGGATACTAGACAAGGCTTTACCTATTGAGACAACAAAATGTTGAAAATATTAGGGCTGTTAAAGTCTTTGTTGGGTAAATACTTTTAAAAAAATGTAACCTAAGACCATAAATTTTTAAACCATGGGATAAATAAGCATGAACACATGTGGGCATTTAGGAAAAGGTATGTGCTCAATAAAATAAATACAAATTGTATTTTTAGTGAGTTAATAGCAGTATTTTCCTTTGACAAAAATTACATAATGTATTACCATAGCAAAATTTACCTTAGTATAGGAAAAAATGAAGAAAAATCATGTACTGGGCCCAGTGCAATAGCCTAGTGGCTAAATCCTTGTCTTGCAACCACTGGTTGCATATGGGCACCAGTTCGTATCCCAGCTGTTCCAATTCCCAGCCACCTCACTGTTTGTGGCCAGGGAAAGCAGGGGAAGATGGCACAAAGCCTTAATACCCTGCGCCCATGCCAGAGACCCAGAAGAAGCTCCTCGCTTCAGATTGGCTCAGCTCTGTTTCTTGTGGCTACATGGGGAGTGAACTAGCAGACTGAAGATCTTTCCCTCTGTCTGTCCTTCTCTCTGTAAAGCTGTCTTTCCAATAAAGAAAAAAAATAAAGCTTTACTGAAAAAAATAATGTATGAAATAATTATGACAACAGTAATATTATATATTTTTGTACTGTCTATGGATTTCTTGGACCTTACTTTAACTAAATATTCTTGAACTACTGCCAATCTAAAATATAAAAATGCTAAAAGCCATTACGTTGGCATTAAGGAGAAAAAGGAGGGAAGAAGAAGTGAAACTGGCCTAGATACTACCTCTCAGACAGGACAGGAACCCAACAGGAACTTGAGGTATGGCCCTAGGAGAATGTCAGTGTAACTGATGTTAAATGTTACTAGCTTAAAGTCCTAAATCAAATTCAATATTTATGTCTCTGTATCACACCTGTTCATTATGAAACAATTTAGTGTGAAATTATCAGAAGCACAGTATGTATGAGCTCATTCAAGAAATATTTATTGAGCACGTAATATTCTTATTCGCTGAGGAATTATGGCGGGGATTGAGTATACATACATAAATACAACAGATTTGCAAAAGGCCATTTTAGAGATGTAACATTTAAAGACATAACATTTAGGAGTGGACACTGGGATGCCTGGATCCCACTGCCAGGGTGCCTGGGTTAGAGTTCTGGCTCCTCTGTTAACTCAAGCAGCTGAGTTCTTTCCCCCAGGTGGGACACCTAGACTGAGTTCCTGGTGCCTGGCTTTGCCCTCGCCATGCCTGAGGCTGTTGCAAGCATTTAGGGAGTGATTAGTGAATGCAGATCTGCCTTTCAAATGAATGAAAATAAATCTACATCTTGAAAGACATGACATTTAAGCAGCTTCCTGATAGCTACATTTAATCAAGGGATATCAGCAGGGAGGGCCAAGTATTTCACACAGAGGGAGCAGCAGGTGGTCAAGGACTGAACAGTAATTTGAATTAAAGTGCTGGGATAGCCTGACCCAGAATGAAACTGGGGGGTCCAACAGCAGCCAGGACACCCAGAGGCAGCAGGCCACATTAAGAGACTAAAACTGCAAGCAAGCTGAAGCCTGTGGTGAAAAATTGTAAGATCTAAAATTTGACCTTGCAGTATTGCACACTATTGGTTGGATACTACTTCACATACAAATAGGAGATTTACTTTTAAAGGCCACCTAATTTAGAAGAAACTGCTTGCTTTTTTTTTTTTTTATTTTTTTTAAAGATTTATTTTTATTATTTTTTCATTGGAAAGGCGGATATACAGAGAGGAGAGACAGAGAGGAAGATCTTCCGTCCGATGATTCACTCCCCAAGTCAGCGCAACGGGCCGATACTATGCCGATCCGAAGCCAGGAGCCTCTTGCGGGTCTCCCACGCGGGTGCAGGGTCCCAAAGCTTTGGGCCGTCCTCGACTGCTTTCCCAGGCCACAGGCAGGGAGCTGGAAGGGAAGCGGGGCTGCCGGGATTAGAACCGGCGCCCATATGGGATCCCGGGCGTGAAAGGCGAGGACCTTTAACCACTTGCGCCACCGCGCCGGGCCCGAAACTGCTTGCTTTTTAAGGCCTCCTAATTTTAGACAGACACAAATAATGACAACTAAAATACAAGTGTATGTATAAGAGCAAATCTGTCAGCACAAATAATTAAATTTCATAATTGGGATATTTTTGCTGTTTTTCTAAATTCCAATTTTTTTTTAGACAAATAGGTTTAGGTACCAAGCCATATCAATCACTCTATAATCTATTAAATCTCACCTTCAGTTTCTCAAATCGGTTTTAGTTACAGCATGGGAAGTTTCATGTTTAGTCCAGATTCTCACTCAGGTCACCAGGTCTAGATTTGAACCCAGCCTTGTACTTACTAGCTATGTGACATTTTGGACATTGTGGAGCATCCAAGGCATGAAACAGTGTCCAAGTGGGATTCTGCTGCTTACAGGCAGGCAATTAGCCAATTGGGTCTTGGTGTCACCCCCGGAATGGGAGACTGTGTAAGATAAGCCTAACCTTAACTCACTCTCTCACCACTTTTTAAAAAAAGTATTTATTTTGGGGAAAGTTTTGAGTTTTGAGGAGGGGCTAATGGGAGAAGTTCATTTTCCATCTGCTAGTTCATTTCCCAGATGGTTGCAAAAGCAAGCACAGGGCCAGACTGAAGCCAGAAGCTTCATCCAGGTCTCTCACTTTGGTACAGGGGCCTAAACATGTGGGTCATCATCTGATGCTTTCCCCAGACCATTAGCAGGGAGCTGGATCAAAAGTGAAGCAGCTAGGACATGAACCAGCACCCATACAGGATGCCATCATCACACGTGATGGCTTTATCTGCAGTGCCTGGATCCTCAGCACTTTTAATATTATTCTCTATTAATTTATCGTTTCTCATGCCAATTAACTTCTACTAAAACTCCAGAGGCTGGCGGACATATTCATCTTTAGGACTGCCCAGTTAAAATGTACTTTATTCATCTTGATGGAAATGAAAATAACAAAACACAGAGACATTTGAACAGACAATGGATGTTAAATGAACAGGAATCTCATGCCGAATCATGCATGCACAGTGTCAGCAGTTACCAGCACACAGGAATTGCTACAGACACCAGATTTTGAACTGCTAATTTTCACTAATGCTCTGTGAAAAAAAATAACATAAAACATGATGGCAAAAGCAATTCTATCCATGGTTAGAGTTCTCCTCCAAGCTGATACGCGCCTGTAGAGCTCTCATGTGCTATTCATTTTTTAGTTGCTGAGACAGGGGATAAGCCAGCCAGCATTAAGAATACATAGCATGCCAGTGAATATCTTCTTTGATATAAAACATAAAAATGGAGGAACAATCTTAAAATGTATCTAAAACCAAAGCACGATTATTTCTAGTAGTTTAAATACATAATAAAATATAAGGTGAAACACACAATTGTGTAGTCAAGTGTTATGGGGAGACCACTTGGCACACAAGTGATTCTGAAGGAATGATTAATAAGGTAGCTGCACACGAAACTACAACATAAATTCAAGATACAAATATTATGTTATGTTTCCTTTGCCCAAGATTCGCAACATGATGTTTTACTTTTGTGAATTACAGCTGTAGATTTTGGGAACACTAGGTCAATCACAGATGGTAGTGCAGGGAAACAGTTTTGGTTACTTATAAAGCAATGACTGCTGATGCTCATCACGTGTTATGGTATTTGCAGAACTTCTCAGTGAAAAGTACAATGGCTATTCTTTGATTTCCAAAGACAGTATTATTGCAAAACTCCATTTTGGGCAACTCTTACCACTAACAAGGCACTATCATCAGTGTGTTGAGACCTTCTGGATGGGAAGGGACACTGGGGAGGTGGAGAGAAAGGAAGCAACGTCAAAAACAAACTAGGCACACATGTGACATATCTCACAACTACACATGACATATCACAACCACACACACGATGAAGGGAACGTACTAAGACAGACTTCTGAAGATGCTGAGAAACAGGGACATGTTCACACTCATCTGGAATGCACGTACCACAGAGCCAGTAAGTTTCAGTACTGAAAATCAGTTCTGATTTTATTTCAGGCTAAACAATTTCAAACACAAACTGTTTCCTAAAAAATTTTCAAAAGCAAGGAGGGGATAGTGATGACATTCTGTTCATGAAACAGAAAGCAAAGTATAGATACAGTAATAACATGAATAACCGCAGAACAATGTGTGAGCGTGTGAAAATTAAATAATCAATCCATAGGCACGATTTCTGGTCCAGACAGCTTGTCACTAGTTTCCTCAGACAAAATAACAACACAATTAAACAACTTGAAAGCTGTTCGTGTAATTTTCCTGTGAGTCTTTAGTTATCACCCAATGAGTGACCTGAGAATAACCATCAAGAAGCAAATGTTAGGATAAGAAAGAAAAAAGGTATGAAGCATAGTCAGCTTTGATGATCTGAACTTTTATATTATGTAGAGTGATTGGCTCATTGATAAAAACCTGATTGTTGTTTTCAAACCACAGATTTCACACAAATCGAAGTAAAAACTGACGTGCCTTTATGCATTTTAAGGGAAATAACGATCATAAATGGAAACAATCAATGTTGAAATGAAGAGAAGCTCATGAGAATGTTGATAATACTCATCTAATCACTTTGATAAGTCAAATAGGTGTGCACATGTTAAAAAGGTTAAGCAATGAATTTCTGTTAACTTGCAATGAAATATGACTTGATATTATAAGACTAATGCAAACAAAGTGCAACTGGTAACAGTGAAATGACCACTGAAGCTGAGCGACCATGCAGGATGTTTAAGGTTGTCATAAAGCACACGGGTCAGACCAGCCCTCAGCACGGCACCTCATTACACAGCAAGCTTCCAAAATGGACGGGATGTGATGGGAGCTCACCAGGAAGGGGAGGGGAGGGCTATCATCATCTCTAGATGGTAGCGTATGGCAGAGAAGTACCCCAATCTACAGATTCCAAAAAATAGCCATATTCTGATCACTGAAAATTCGCTAATCACCCCCAAAACCTTTCGCTTCATTGCAAAAACATTAAATTCCAAAGAAAAACGGATGAAGGAAACTTACCTCCCCATCTAAGGCTGGCTGCTGCTTCTGTGGACTTCGTGATGCCTTTTGCTGTTGGCCCGCAATCAAGAAAAAGAGAATTTGGTTAGAATCAGGACCACCAGAAAAGACAAGTTCTACTGACCTAATCACCCTTATGACCGTGTCTCTTGGAAAGAGCACTTTCCCAGAGTTACGCTCAGAAGATATTGTGTAAGTGTTTTACAACTTAAATAAGGAAGAGCAAGAAACTGATAAACAATACTTTCATTTATTAACAAGCAAACAAAATTTAAAAACTATACCTACAGAAATTAATTCATACACAGGCTACTGCTCTCTCTGTTTTCTTAATGGAGTCATCTTCTCTTTTTTAGGTGTCATTCTAATATGAGATAACTTCAGCTATAAGCCAAATCTCAGGCTTGTACTGGGTGCATTAAAAGGGTGCTGGATGGGAAGTGAAGCAACTAAGACTTGAATCAGGGCCATATGGGCTGCTTAAGCCACATGGGGAGGCTCAGTGTCACCAGTCTCATAATCTGTTCTTATACAGAATCTCAAATAATCTTTCTTACTATGTAAGATCAACATCATTTTCATTTAAAGATAATATTGAGAAGGTAGCTGGTACAGTAGCTCAACAGACTAATCCTCCGCATGCTAACACCACATCTCATATGGAGGGTTTGTATCCAGGTTGCTCCACTACTGATTCAGTTCCCTGTTTACGGTGTGGGAAAGCAACAGAGGATGGCCCAAGTCCTTGGGACCCTCTGCCCATGAGTGAGACCTGGAAGAAACTCCTGGCTCCTGCCTTTGGATCAGCTCAGCTCTGGCTGTTGTGGTCGCATGGGTCGTAAACCAGTGCATGAAGATCTTTCTGTTTCTCCTCTCCGTAAATCTGATCTGCCTTCAATAAAAATAAATACATATTTTAAAATATTTGTTTATTGTATTGGAAAAGCATATTTACAGAGAGAAGGGAAGCTAACCAGGGTTGGGCCTGGCTAATAAGTGGATGGGAGAGAGATCTTCCATTTGCTGGTTCACTCCCCAAATGGCCAGTTGAGCTGGTCCAAAGCTAGGAGTATGGAGCTTCTTCTGGGTCTCCTACTTGGGTGCAGGGGCCCAAGCACTTGGGTTAGCTTTTGCTGCTTTCCTAGGTGCACTATCAGGGAACTGAATCCAAACTGGAGCACCCAGAATTCAAACTGGCATCCACATGGCATGCTGGCACCACAGGTCGTGGCTTAACCTATAACATCATGGTCCCAGCCCTAAATATAGGATTACTAAAGCGTAAAGATTGGCAGTGTTGCACAGTGACAAGAACTTAGAATCAGAGATGTCTGAATTCAGCTTGGTCACTCACTTTGTGCCTTGACTTTAGGAAATGTACTAAATCATTCTGTGCCTTTATTTTCCTCTTTTATATAATATTTGGGGGGGGGGAGGGATCTATTTTGTTTTTATTTATTTGCAGTATTATGACAGAAAAAGATTTTCCATCCACTAAGTCATTCCCCAAATGTCTACAACAGGCCAAACAACAGGAGCCCACTGATCAAATCTGGGACTCCAAAGTGGATAGTAGGGACCCAAGTACTTGAGTGCTATTGCTGCCTCCCAGGCGTGCAGTAGCAGCAAGCAGGGATCAGAATGGGAACAGGAACTCAAAGCTCAAGTATTCTGATACAGGATGCTGAGATCTCAAATGGTGTCTATATCACTGTCCACTCCAACTGTTAATCTTGCTGAGCATCAGTTTCTATATCCATAAAACAGTATCTATGTTACTTCATCACTGGAAGGATTAGAGTTACTACACAACAGTACCTGGGGCACTGGCATTGTGGCACAGTGAGTCAAGCTTCTGCTTGAGATTCCAGCATATGTCTGAATCTCAGCTGCTACTCTTCTGGTCCAGCTTCCTGCTAATGTACCTAAGAATGCAGCAGATGGTGACCCAAGTAGTTGGATCCCGTCAGCAATATGGGAGACCTGGCTGGAGTTCTAGCTTCAGGCTTTTTGGCTGGCTTTAGCCTGGGCCCTTGAGGCCATTTGGGGAGTAAAACCAGCAGAGATGGAAGGAAGAGCTTTCTCCCTTATTCTGTGTAACTCTACCTTTCATATAAACAAATATTTCCAACAAAGAGTATCTGGTACATTGTATCAAAAAACACTAAGTATTATCATCTTCATCATCTCATTCATTTTTCTATTAGTCTTCAGTACAAACACCCTCTGCCAGCAAGTGTTTTTTACTGAATGTTCCCTATTTCAAATTTAAGTCACAGAGGCTTATACTTAGCTTCCTCCTGCTTAAAGGCCCCTTAGCCAGAAGCAACCCACCCTTACAGTGCCAACCCTTCCTTTCCTCCTGGCTATATCCTAGCAACTCAGTGTCCTGTATCACCTCCTTTACAGACAGTTCTGATATAGAAGTAGTCAAAGCTGACTGACTTGCTCCCTAACAAGCTCTAAGATGTGTCTGGCAGGCAAGTTTTACATTTTTATTTTTTGTAAGATTTATTTTAATAAATTGAAAGCATTTCCAGTCATAAAAAAATGAAATCTTGTCTTATCCAACTAAATGCTTGCATTTGGAAATCATTATGCCTAATGAAATAAATCAGTCCGATAGAGACAAATATCATGTTTTTCCTGATTTGTGATAACTTATTCATAGACAGCAATAAAAATGTAATCTATGTGAGTGAGATCAACATTCTGAGATTTGAATATTGCTTACAGCCCTCATCTATACTCCCGAGGAATAGGTTTGTGTTTTTGTTTTTTTAATTTTTTCCTTGCTATGTGTTACCTTTACCCAATAAGGTGTTAAATCTGTTGAGTGCAAAGTGAAATGAAAGTCTGTCATTGTAAAAGGGGGAAAAAAAAAAGAAAGAAAGAAGGAGGGGTAGGTGGGGAATGCAGGCAGGAGGGAGAGTTTGATGGGAAGTATCACTATGCTCTTAAATCTGTACCGTGAAAAACGTGAAATCTGTTCGCTTTATATAAACAAACAGAACAAAAAAATTTTTTTTTAAAGGCAGAGTCATAGAGAAGAAGACACAGAGAGAAGTCCTCCATCCACTGGTTCACTCCTCAAATAACTGCAATGGTTAGGGCTCTTTTGTGCTGACATCCCATATGGGTCCTAGTCTGAGTCCCAGCTGCTCCACTTCTTATCCAGCCCCTTGATTACGACTTAGGAAAGCAGTGGAGGATGGCTTAAGTTTTGGGCCCCTACACCCACATGGGAGATCTGGAAGAAGCTGTTGGCTCACAGTTTCAGGCCAGCCCAGCTCTAGACGTTTCAGCCATTTGGGGAGTGAATTATCAGATGAAAGATTTCTCTGCCTTTAAACAAAAACAAATCTCACAAAAGACACCCACTGTAAGACTAGAGGGGAGAACAGAAAGGAGGGGAAGGAACTTGGAGGAAGGGGAAGGAAGACTCCAGTGTCAACTAAATTGTATCAAAAAACAATTAACAAAGTCAATCTCAAAAAAAAAAAAAAGTAGAGGTGTGACTTGATACCAGGCACTGCAATTAGGAACCTGAGCATTGCAAATAGTGGCTGCACCATAGCATGTACTCCTGTACGGTGCTGTTACAGTTTACACAACACTTTCATGACTTTATTGATGTTTACTACATTAGAAAAGGAAGAGATGGCAGGTGAATGATAGTCTACCAAGATAACCACAATAGGGATGAGGATGATCAATCACAGGTAGGGTATCACTCTAGCCAAAACCCCTTCTATGACAGAAAAGAAGCTGCCAAAATCAACAGGCTCCCTCAGCAAAAACCAGCATTTGCTTCTAAGCAATTTTAAAGAATACCCTTTGGTAAACTCAAGGGACTCACCTTGACAAAGTCCAGGACAGCATCTCTCTGAATCTGCTTGGTTCTTATTTTCTCCTCTTCATACTGCAGGGCTGCGCGCTGTGCCTCCCTCCGAGTACGCTCTACCAGCTGCTCTCTTCGCCGCTCAAGTTCCAAGTCTGCATGTGACAGCTACAACAAAACACACCATTTTGCAAGTGGCAAGTGCAAGTGGGGACATGGATCAACTAATCAACATTCCTAACTTAGGAAACCATTGCTAACCTGCAGAATTTTGACTCTGTAGTCACTGAACACTTCTTTAAATGTGTTATTGCTAACATTTTCCGATCTTTGCACTATTCTGTATGTTCTATAAAATCATTACAAAGGTGAGGTTTTCTTTTCTGTCTAAACCTGTCTGAAAGCTGTTAGCAAGCACCATGTGCATATGGTATATTAACTGAGACAGGTAATAAAGCTTACAAACATCTGAAAACCAGTGGCAATTTAGATATTATAGAAGAAAACCATTTTAATTAAAACATCAACAAAATCTACTAATAATTACCTGATTGTGACTTGGTGACAATGCCAACAGAGAAGATGGATCAACTGGAACCCTGATACACACACACACAAAAAAAAGGAAAAGAAAAAAGAAAAACTTTTTGATAACAAGACAAAGGACAAGTGAAATTGCTTTCATGGTTAATATAGTTTTCCCTTAATCAGTAGGCAAATTGTTATTTTTTTAATAATATAAAAGTTATAGTTACAATAAAAGAGCAACTGCCTTTTATAAACTTGAGTCTAGTCATTAAATTAAACCCAAGGAATACCTGATGTCTCCAACTCAGGTTTCGTGTGATAATGTCACTAGTTAATCTATAGCTAGCTAACAATTGACTGAGCCAGCCAATATTGATGACAGTTAAAATGAGATCACATTTCAAACAGTATTATTTCTTTGTAACAGAAGGAACTATTATCTTCTTTAATACCATGATTGCAACAAGATATATGTAAATTGAGATTGTTTTATATATATATAGCCATTTTATTCACAGAAACCACAAACATCACAGAACCTGGCAACTTGTAAAGCTCTTTTCTCCTTATTTTAAACCGATGGAAAATTTAGTAACAACAAGTCCATTGGTTTTTACTCTTTAAAAAGATGAAATTATTTCATGCTATAAAATTAAAATAAATACTACTTGCCTCATACATTTTTAAAATATTATTTATTTGTTTATTTATTTATATCTTATTTAAAAGGCAGAGTAACATAGAGAGCGGTATCTTCCATTTGCTGGTTCATTCTCAAATGCCAGTAACAACCAGGACTAGTTCAGGCCAAAGCCAAGAACACCACTAGGGTCTCCCACATGGGTGGCAGGGGCTCAGTACGTGGGCCATCATCTGCCGCCCCCTAGATACTGGCAGAAACCTGGGCTGCGCTGCAAGTGCACTGTTAGCTGGGACTTAAACCAGGCACACACACATGGGATGCACGTGTCTCCAGCATTGGCTTCGCCCTCTGTACCACAACAGCCACTTCTGAGTTTCATTTCTTATAATCTGAGATTTACTTCTTTCTTCAACATGTCCTACTGTTTCAAACCTTTATAATTCATCTGTGTGTCTTAAATGGAAAAAGTTGAAATAGTGACTTTTTGATATTTAGGGTCTGAAATTTGAAACCATGATTACTAGCCTTTAGGTTAATTTAAATGCTTTGCAATCAGTGAGCTACTGGATAAACAAAAATCTGTAGAAGCACCAGCAGCTTCTGCTTTTTGGCTGTTACAAAGACAAATCCTTCAGTCTGGCAATGAGGCCTTCCACTCTGGACTCCTTCCTGAAGCATGTCTCTAGGTAAGACTACTCTTAAAATCCCCATTATGGCGATCTTAATCTCAGAAAACACCTCCTTCAAAGTTTTATCCCTTTAAAATTGGGATTTATATGTTAAATTTAAAAAATTTTCCATTTACCATTATGATTCAGCCACTTGGGAATATTGTTCTGAGCATATGGAAACTAACACTCACTGTGCCCTTACCACATATGCTCAGGCAATAGGGAAGTAATTTTCCCAGGACGACCTAGACTGTAGATTGTGGGCTGGACTCAATGCTTCTCCGTCTAAGTCTGCAAGTAGCTTGTACTCTTAACTATGCAGCCTACGAGACTCTCCAAGGACCTCAGCAATTACAGCAAACAAGCTACTGATATTACAAATGAGAAGAAACCCAAGTCCCCAGGAACTAAGTATTAGCCACTTAATGATAGAGCTTGAAACAGAATGCAAGTTATTTATTAATTTGTACTTTGATACTTTTCATACTACATTATTATTTCCCTCCACTGAAACAGAAACTGGGAAGGAGGAATGGAGGAGCACAGAGACTTAAAGTCATACAGGCAGAAATACAAAGTTAGTTTAATGGAGAACTGGACTGTGAAAAGTTAAAGGTGGAGGAAAAGAGCTTTAACCCACTGTGCCACTATGCTGCCAGAGAAGTTTTTCAAAGGTGATGTAGCAGGTGCTACACAGACTGTAAGCCCATGATGCCAACTCTGCACACTGGTGCATCTCTCAATTTGCATAGGCGGCCAAGGCTTGTATGCCCTGGGTCAGGAGGGGAACATCTGGTCTGTAGGCCATATAAAGGCAAGAGCTGGGGCTAGGCTAGAGGCAAGGTGGGAGCCTGGCACTCAGTCTAGGTGTCAGGTGGGTGGCAGGGACTCAAGCACTAGTGCCATCAACTGCAGCCTCCCAGGTGTACATTAGCAGGAAGCTGGAATTGGAAGCAGATGCAAGAGTTAAATCAAGGCACTCTGACAGGGGATGCTAGAGTCTTAATTTCTGTACCAAAGGCCCATCCCAAAATAGCTTTTTCTTTTTGCTCACTAGAGTTAGAATGACTAGCAAGCAAGCAACAATTTATCACAGTGATTAAATTCTTTTATTTATTCATTAATTCTTAATTTTTTTAAATTGGAAAGTCAGATACACAGAGAGGAAGATCTTCCATCTGCAGATTCACTCCCTAAGTGGCTGCAATGACCAGAGCTGAGCTGGATCCAAAGCCACGAGTCCAGATCTTCTTGGGGCTCCCACATGGGTGCAGTGTTCCAAGGCTTTGGGCCATCCTCGACTATTACACCAGGTCACAAATAGGGAGCTGGATGGGAAGCAGGGCTGCTGGGATTAGAACCGGCACTCATATGGGATCCTGGTGTGTACAAGGTGAGGACTTCAGCTGCTAGGCTACCGCTCCGAGCCCAATTCAATTTTTTTAAACCTTTATAATTGATAAGACTGCTGAAATGGATATTTGTTGTTGCTGTAGTTAACATGTTGTGTAGCTTACAGACCAGACTTGCGGGCTTCAGAGCTGTCAGTCATATAAACATTTTTAGCAGGTTTTTGTCTTTAATTTACTACTATACTTGAATGGACGATCTAGGATGGCAGGTACTTTCAATGAAGTTTATAGCTGTATTTCCACATTTGACAAAATTCTGGCATATAGTTTTTTTTTTTTTTAACAAATATATGCTAACTAGGAATGTGTTGGTTACTGGGTTTATGAAATTCAAGTGCCAATCAGCTATAATTAAAATGAGGGATATTGTCAGGTAGTTCTAATGTAATCAAAAGTGTTTAAAAGCAAAAGAGACAGGAAGTAAGAGTTTGAGAGATGCAGCAGAAAAGGAGGTCAAAAAGATTTGAAAATGGAGGGGAAGCCGGCTTTGTGGCACACCGCGTTAAGCTGCCACCCACGACATAAGCATCCCATATAGGTACCAGAGTTTGAGTCCTGGTTTCTCTACTTCCAATCCAGCTCCCTGCTAATGTGCTTGTGAGAAGCAAAAGCCAACCCAGGTGGCTGGAATCCTAGATCCACATGGGAAAACCAGATGGAGCTCTTAGCTCCTCACCCAGCCACAGTCATTGCAACCATCTGGGGAGTGAACCAGCCGATGGAAGGTTTCTGTTTCTCTTTCTCTCTCTCTCTGAAACTCTGCCTTTCAAACAAATAAATGAATCTTTAAACAACAACAAGAAAATGGAAGGAGCTATGAATTAAGCAACATGGTACTCTAAAAGCAGGGACCGACACCCCAGTTGATGGTCGGCAAGGTAACATTCCTATAATCACAAGGAACTGAATTTTGCCACCGACACAGAGCCTGAAAAGCAGAGTCTCCTAGTCGAGGCCGGCCAATACTCTTTGGCAACAGAAGACTCTAAGCAGGGGGTCTGCCCAGGCATCTTTGCCATAGAATTGCTTAAAGCTCTGAATTTGTAACAGAAACAATGAAAAATCTACACGTTAAGTAAGTAAAAAGTTAGTTTTTATTGTGACGGTTTCTGCTAAATCCTTCACTTATGATGGAGTCAGGAGATGAGGGGGACAGGAAATAAAACCTAGGCCCACCCAAGGGGAGAAAATGTAACAAACTCATGCATGATGCCTGGATCTCAAAAATTTAATTATCAGTACAAAGACGCATGGCAACTAAAAAGCCATTTTGAAATAAATGTCAAAGCGTATCAAATTTAACTAAAGCTCAACGAATGAGGAGGTAAGACTATCAAAGGCTAAGTTACGAGATTTCTTTTATTATTCTTCCTACATTTTCTTTATTCCATCTTCACTTTGGTCCCTGAGATAACTTTAATATTCATGCAAGTGTAAATAAAAAGCTATGTCTGGTGCCTTGTGTGGTAGCCTAGTGGCTAAAGTTCTGGCCTTGCATTGCACCAGCATCCCATATGGGAGTCAGTTTGTAACCCAGCTGCTGTACTTCTCATCCAGCACCTTGCTTGTGTCCTGGGAAAAGTCCAGAGTCTTGGGACCCTACCTCCGTGTGGGAGATCCAGAGAAAGCTTCTGACTCTTGGCTTCAGATCAGCTGAGCTTTGGCCACTTGGGGAGTGAACCAGTGGATGGAAGATCTTTTTCTCTGTCTCTCCTTCACTCTGTAAATCTGACTTTCCAATAAAAATAAATAAATCTTAAAAAAAAAAAAAAAGCTATGGGGGCCCAGTGGCGTGGCCTAGCAGCTAAAGTCCTCGCCTTGAACGTGCCAGGATCCCATATGGGCACCGCTTTGAATCCCGGCAGCTCCACTTCCCATCCAGCTCCCTGCTTGTGGCCTGGGACAGCAGGCGAGGACGGCCCAATGCTTTGGGACCCTGCACCCGTGTGGGAAACCTGGAAGAAGCTCCTGGATCCTGGCTTCGGATCTGCATAGCATCGGCCGTTGCGCTCACTTGGGGAGTGAATCATTGGACGGAAGATCTTTCTCTCTGTCTCTCCTCCTCTCTGTACATTTGACTTTCCAATAAATAAATAAACCTTTTAAAAAAAAAGCTATGTCTGATAGAGGCTGGCACTGTGACTGAGTGGTATAAGCTGTCACAGGCAATGCTGGAGGCCATTTCATGTCCTGCCTTCTCCATTTATAATCCATTTTCCTGCTAATGGCCCAAGAAGGTAGTAGAAGATGGCCTAAGTGCTTGAGCTCCTGTACCATATGGGAGATTCAAAAGAAGCTCCTGGCTCCTGGATTTAGCCTGGCCAAGCCCTGGCCAATGTAGAATAATGGAATGAATCCGCTGATGGAAGATCTCTTGATCTCTCCCTCCAGCTTTTTAATTTTTTTTTTCCCCAAGACTTATTTTCCTCTGAAAGGCATATTTTACAGAGAGAGGAGAGATAAAGAAAGTCTTCCATCCACTGGTTCACTCCCTAATTGGTCAAATGACAAGAACTGAGCTGATCTGAACTTTGAAGCCAGGAATTTCTTCCAGGTATCCCATGTGGGTGCCAGCAGCTCAAGGACTGGGTGATTCTTTGTTGCTTTCTCAGGTCCTAAAACAGAAAGCTGGATTGGAAGTGGGAGCAGCTAGGACATGAACTTAGGCGCAAACAGGATGCCAGCGCCACAGGGAATAGGATTAGCTTGTTGTGCCACTGCAGATCCCTTTCTCTGTTAACTCTATCAAAATAAATAAATGAGCAATAAAAATAGTACCAGTTGTGTATGACACGTTCTGTGCATAAATAAATTTCTACTTAAAAACAGGCATATAAAGTCTACTATTTTAAGACTTCATATAAACAAAGAGTGAAGAATCAAAGACTGGAAATTTTTCAACTACCATGACAAGATTTATGAGAAGAAACTTTTGAGAAGCAGGGCTCTAGATGGTCGAGTTAATTTTAGAAATATTCTTAGAGGTACCTACTAGTAATAATGGAAATATATTAATTGAGGTGGGAATAAATATATACATCTCTACTATCCAGCCAAAAGTTTAAACTAAAAAAAAAATAAAAGGATTACTGATTAAAACCCTTTTTGTATGAATCTACATTATTATGACTACAAAATCTCACTGCTATTAAGTACACTCAAATCAATTAATTTATAATAGTCTATGTGATTTGAATCTAGAATCAATAAATTACTTTTGCCTCTTTTATGAGCACAAAAGCACATTATTCAGTTTTAATATATGGATCCAAAACACATCACATCGAAACATTCTCATCATACACAGAACTTCACCAAACCATATTTATTTCATCTCTCATCATTGGGCTTTAAGACAGAAATAAGTAGAATTAGTTTTTCACACCTGTTTTGATATGAGTATCTTCTTACGTCTTCTGTTTTTTGAAGCTCCCTAATTGCTACTGGTTTTATTGGTGAACCCTAAACCAAAAAAGCAGAAATAAATCAACTTAACATAGGAATCCATGACTGTGATTACACAGTTTACTCAACCTAACAGAGATGTGCAGAATACACTAATAAATACTTTAACAGACTCTTCAAATGTGAATTTTTGTTTAAAAGTATTACCGATTATTATTACTGCTTTGATAAACATGATCACAATCTACACTGTTTTTAGATTTCCTTCTTACTATATTATATAAATTGTAGTAACCAAATACAGTGATGCGTACTCAAAAAAATGAAGGGTTGGAAAGGAAGTGAGAGGTCATCTAGTACAGGACAGAAATTCCTACCAGCTTTATCCTAACAATTGTTTAGTTTCTCTTGAAGATTTCTAATAAGCTGCAACTCACTTGGGCAGAATGCATTTCTCTACTTCTCTGCTACCACAAATTGTCTGTTTTCTTAGCCGCACAAACAATTCTGGGTATAATTATGGGAAATCAACACAAAAGTAATTTTTATTTTCACTAAAATACAGTATTAATTTAAAAGGAAAACTGGCAATTTTTTAGCAAACTGAAAAGATCATTTCAAGAAGCATTACTAAGAAAAGTGAAACTGACTTAAATGAAATGGGATATAAAAGTGTAAATTAACTACAATGGCTTAAAGGTTATAACAATACATATTTGTGAAATTAAATCTATGGAACCTATGCAATTTTATTTCAAAACCAGAAAAAACAATCAAAGTGGGTATTTCTTTTTCTTTTTTTTAAAGATGGGTTAGAGAAGGAGAGACAGAGATAAAGAACATCCATCCACTAATTCACTCTCCAAGTGGCCGCAAAGCTCAGCTGTACCTTTCTGTCTTCTCTTCCCCCATTCCTTCCGCCATTCTTTCACACAAACAAAAATATGAGCATGAGAATTCAGCTATAATTCTGGAATCATGAGTAGAGAATAATTATTCTGATTTTAGTGACAATGCTATTTTTTAAATAAATATCTGCCCTAGAATGTTATATAGTTCAAGTCTTGGCTGCCCCACTTCTGATACAGCTTCCTGCTAATATACCTGGGAAACCAGCAAAGTATAGTCCAAGTTCTTGGGCCCTTGTACCCATTTGGGAGACCTGGAAGCAGCTTTGGCCTCCGGGCTTCAGCCAGGCCCACTTCGACCCATTGCAGCCATTTGGGGTGTGAACCACTGAATGGAAGATCATTCTCTCTGTCTTTCCTCTCTCTGTCACTCTGCCTTCCAAGTATATAAACAATTAAGAAAAGAAACAACAATAACCAAAAAACCCAAGGAACCAAAAAAAACCCATGACACAATGAATGAGACAGTAATTTAATTTAAAAAATGAGTATTAAATCATGCCTATTTAAGAAGTTTTTAAAATATATAGTTTTGAAATATCTCATATATATTATGCCAACTTTTAAAAAATCAGTATTTTAAAAACTCAATTATTTAATTTTATATACTGTTCTGAAACATGAGATAATATCTCTTCACCTGTTGAAGCATTTAAAGTAATATGGGTGAGTACTTTGTGCAGCATTCATACAGTCATATAAACTATCAGATACAATGGGCAGCTGGAATTAGAAAACACACTACAGAAGAGCCAACATAATTATATTACAGAGACGGCACTGAAATTCTTCACAGTACTCCGACAGGCTTTTTGACTTTTAGTAGTGCTACCTATCTATACCACCTCACCAACCGTCCAATGATCAAAAAGACTACAAGAAAAAGGAATCCTTTAAATTTTAAAACATGCCACTTTTAGATTTATTTCAAAGTAGTTTTGGCCTTTGTTCAAATAGGGAAGTTTTGTCCTAAATCACAAGGAGCAGCATCAGTCAGAAGGTACATTTATTACAATCCTTGGGCAGTGGGACTCTGGTCACTTTTAATCAACTTAGATACAAGAGTGTCCTCTGAACACCAACAAAAAAATTCTGCATTCGGGGGCCTTCAGATAAAAAAGCCAAAGCACATATATTTTTAAATAAAGATAGTTTCCTTCTACATGTGCCACTTGAAGTGATTACTGTAGAAGGCTAAATATATCGTGCTCCAAAAAGCCTCTACGCATTTCTCAAATAACCCCGGCGGAGTCTGGGAACAACTCCAGATGGAGCGTCACGCACTGCAGTGGAGCCGTTTCTTGGTGCTGACCTGACTGAAGAACGCGCTTCTGCCCGAGACCTTGGGGAACTGCCCGAGGTCCCGCAGTGGGCTGAATGCTCACTTGTTTTCTGAGACAAACTAATGCTCACTAGAAGAGAAACCCAAGAATTTTAACAGCAAACAATTCCTATTCTGTGTGGCTTAGCATACAAGCGCCAACAGAATTAAATGTCTTAGAAAAGAATCTATGGTTAAGTTGTATGATACCTCAAAAGCCAATTTTTCGGGTTTATTTTCTGATTAACTGCTGACTGAACTATGGTTTACAAGCTAGTAATAATAAAAAAGAAACAACAACAAGGAAAAGCATCACATTCCTTTGTATTTTCTTCACAGGCTGGGGGTTACTTTTAGGACTTTATTTCTTCTTCAAAATTCTGAAATTTGTCTTTTTATCTGAAAATAAACCTAAACCCTACTTAACACTAATATTTTTCTGAGTAAAAGAAAGTAAAAGAGTAAAAAATTGAAAAATTCAAGACTGAAATCACAAGTGAACATGATAAAACAAGTAGGCCTAAACCATCAAACGACGCATCTGATGGAAACATATACTATCACCGATTGCTTTTGACTAGAGGAGAGCAACATAGAGCGGAGTACTACCTCATGAGAGATACGCCGTTGTTCGATATATGCCATGAACTGTGAACTGAGGCTGTCTGAGTCCAGGCCCTTGGGCTGTCTCACCTCACCCTCCTCTTCCTCTGCAGCACAGCTGTCAATGTAGTCAATCTGATCCAGATCATGCTCCACTGTGCAGCACACACACCAGAGAAAAAAGTCAAGTTAGGACAGCTAATGCAAGATTTTTGCTTATTATATTCTCTTCTTTCCCTGACATTTTCTATTCTGAAACTGAATGGAAGGCTAAGAAGTTTCAATTACATAAGCCTTTATTGTTTAGTCCATGCCCAATTGCCAAAACAAGACTCCAGAAAACTACTCTAAAGAATGCAGGAAATGATTAAAATTACTGAAATACAGAACTCTAACATTTCTTTTTTTTTTTTTTTACTTACTGTTTTAAACAAGTCAGCCTGAGTTTTTGAGATAGATTAAACTTTAAACATTAGAAGCATCTTTCAATGTTTTAGATTTGGAGCTTCAGAATATCTCATTGAGAAGCTGGGATTCAAAAAACCTAACATGGGCAACTGAAAAGAAAGCAAAAGGCAATAAATGCAACTTGGAAAGAAACAGCTACTGGCTACAGTAAAGAAGAAATAGCTACTGGTTACTCTCTGAATGCAACTGTTGCCAATAAAGCTTTTGGCTCATATTTAAGTTGCCCATGATCAGAACAAAGATTTTCCCATGTAGAAAATTATTAATTAGAAGCCAATGTTGTAAGTACTTTGCAGCATCTGTAAGAGAACCATTTGAGGATTTTTTTTTCTTGTCAAAATGCTGCATGACAAGAAATACAATAAATAAGAATTAGCCACACCACTGTTTCACCTCTAAGTTTGGGGCTACCCCATTATTTTTAAGTTTAGTAGAAGTAAATATTCATTAGCTAGTTAGCTAAATGGCACAGAACAGAAACTTGCTGTTGAACATGGTCTCTCCACACAAGTGCTAAAAACATGGCCATGTGATTTCTGCATTGAGATGCACCAAAAATGTAAAATATCCAATAAATTTTGAAGACATCATATAGAAAAAGCACAGAGGGACCAGCGTTGTGGTGCAGTGGTTTAAGTCGCTGCTGACAATGCCAGCATCCCCCTTTGGAGTGCTGGATCAAGTTCTAGCTACTGCATTACCAATTAAACTCCCTCTAATGATTTTTTGTGTATCTCAACGCAGAAGTCACATTTCCAGTGCTAGATAACTGTACGTGACTAGTAGCTATCATTTTGGAAAACACAGATCTAGACTGTTATCTAGTGGGAAATATATCTCATCTGAGAACAAAATTTAAAATTACTGAAATGAGAATGGAATGGTGATAAGTATTTAAAAACAACATATAGAAAATGAAGATAGCAAACCATTTAAATCACCATCCTTCTCAGAAAATATCTGAGTGGCAAATCAAACTCTTTTCTTGTTTATAATTGACTCAGAAAATATAAACAACACAAAAGTTTAAACAATTGGTAACAAAAACTAAAGCAATAAGGAATATCATGCTCAAATCCAGAGTCTGTTTCACACCTTAGGTCTTGTGCCCAGCAGGTGAAGTGGCTGCTTGGGATGTCTAATTTGTAAAGCCCAGTCCCCACTAATCTATTTCCAACCCAGCTCCCTGCCAAAGGCCTGGGAAAGCTTCAAATGACAGCCCCAGTGCTTGGTCTCGAGTCACTCAAAAGGGAGACCTGGAGGGAGCTACTGCCTCTTCGTGTCAGCCTGGCCCTGCCCAAATTGTTGCAGCCATTTTGGAAGAGAAACAATTCATAGAAGATCTCTCTCTCTCTGCTTTCAAATAAATAAATCTTAAGACATCAAATAACGACCATAGGGAAACTTAAAAGAGGATAAAGGAGAGAAGGGAGTGGGGGGGGGGGGTGCAGGCAGCACCATGGTGTAATAAGCTAATCCTCCACTTCGTGGCACTGGCATCCACTTCAGATCCATTTCCCTGCTAACAGCTTGGAAAACAGTGAAAGACGGCCCAAAGCCCTTGGGTTCCTGTACCCATGTAGGATATCTGGAAGAAGTTCCAGGTTCCTAGCTTCAAACTGGTCCAGCTCCAGCCACTGCAGTTACCTGGGGAGTGAATGAGTAGAAGGAAGATCTCTCTATCTCTCCTTCTCTTTTAATTCTACCTTTCAAATAAACCTTTTCTTTTTTTTAAAGGAAGAACGATACTTTAAAAGAAGATTGTGGTTAAATCAAGATGAACAAAGCTCTGTTTCTGGCGAACTGTCCCTATAAAGTTTCTTCCCAAAGTATAAACAAAAGAAAGCATTATATATATATATATATATACACATTTTTTTAAAAGATTTATTTTATTTTATTGGAAAGGCGGATATACAGAGAGCAGAGACAGAGAGGAAGATCTTCCGTCCAATGATTCACTCCCCAAGTGAGCGCAACGGCCGATACTATGCCGATCCGAAGCCAGGAGCCTCTTCCGGGTCTCCCGCACAGGTGCAGGGTCCCAAAGCTTTGGGCTGTCCTGGACTGCTTTCCCGGGCCACAGGCAGGGAGCTGGATGGGAAGTGGGGCTGCTGGGATAGAACCGGCGCCCATATGGGATCCCGGGTGTGCAAGGCGAGGACTTTAACCACTGCGCCACCGCGCCAGGCCCGAAAGCATTATATTTTAAATACAAGACTGGAAACAAACTAAATTCTCATCCCAATAGAAACCAATCGGTTTTTCATCCATACATGAAAAGATGTCATTAAAGGATGAGTAAAGCTACTAAAGACACACAAAAAAGGACATGTAAAACAGACTACTTTAAGGAGTCCAAGTGATTAGAACCTTCCGATAGCATCAGAATTCTGTTTACCTCCACCATTTGTTACTACCAAGCTGCTATGATTCTCCTGGTACTGGCTTTCTCTTCTTAGCCTCTGCTCTTTAGTAATCTCTGCTACTCGAAGAGGCAGGTCTGAAAATTCATCTGTAGGCTTAAAAAAAATAGCAGAGATATTTAAGAAAACATAATCTCCAATTTTAGACACAAGCATTTCAAGTATGGGCATGACATAAACATGTGTTTGAGAAGAGAGCAAATTCTCTGGTGATAGCTGTACAACAATGTGAACATGGTTTTTCCTGGAAAGGGGATCTTTATTCATTTATTTCAAAGTCAGAGTTGCACAGAAAGAGGAGAGGGGATGGAGGGAGAGAGAGAGATAAAGAAATCAAGTCCCATTAAAACATTTTCAATTTTCATCATCTTATTTTCTCTTATGCAGGAGGTACAATACCTGGAACAGGAGAAACACTTACTTCATTCCCTGACCATCTTTTATCACCACTGTCCACACTGTTGAACCCGGAATCTAGAGCTCCGTATGAGTGACTTGAGTACAATTCTTCATGGCTGCCAAAAAGAAACTTCCACCTGTTACTGCACAGTATATAATTTAAAAACCAACATTTAAAGAGACTAGTACTGTAGCACAGTGGGTGAAGTCACCAACTAAATGGTAGCATCTCACATGGGCTCCAGTTCACATCCTGGCAGCTCCACTTACGATCTACTCCGTGCAAATCCCCTGGGAAAGCAGCTGAGTATGGTTCAAGTATTTGGGGTCCTGCTACTTGCATGGAGATTTGAAGCTCCTGGTTCCTGCCATGGCCTGGCTCAGACCTGGCCACTGAGATCACTGAGGGAGTGAACCAGTGGATGGAAGGTGGATGTTTCTCTCCACCCTACTCCCTGTAACTCTTCCAAATTTGAAATAAACCAGATAAAAGTGTCCAGCTTCCAGAAAGGGAAGAAAATACTACCGTTCTACAGCTCTTATTTCATCTATGTCTCCACTGATTCCCCCCAATACCACACTCAACTGTTTTCACTTTAAAAATATTTATTTTCTCAAGAAAATTAAAAGTAGGGAAGCTCCTGTTTGCCCATTTACCAGTCCTTACCCCCACCTGCCAGCTCACAGCCAATATGCTTGGAAAGCAACAGCAGATGGTCCAAGTTACTTGACACCTCCTGTACGGGTAGCAGGGTTCCAAACACTTGCATCACCCTCACTGCTTTCCAGGCACACTAGCAGGGAGTTGGATCAGAAGTGAGGCATCTGATACCTGGACCTGCTTTCATGTGGGAGGCCAGCACAGCAGGTGGTGGTTTTACTTGCTACACTACAGCACCTGCCCTAAACTGCTATGGTTTTAGAATTGTAATTATTTTAAACATCTTATCAGAATTATGAAGAACAGCATTTAGATATTAAAGAATGTAACAGTCACAGCTTTAAAAAATGATGAGACATATTAATAACTCTACAGCCCCCACATGGCCCTTTCACAATGAATCTTTCTCTCAAAGTTAAACACTAAAGATTTTGATATGCCTATGTTTTAGAATTTACAAATCTTTTTTCACAGTAATTGTTGTAAATACATGTCTGTTTTTATAAATTCTACCCAGAGAAATTGTTAATCTGTTCAACTATGGATCTAAGAGGCAAGCTCATTAACTCTGAGCTTTTAAGCAAAATTTGACAGATTCCAAATGAAGGCCTAGGGGGCATTCTCTTAGTCCATGGGTGTTACTGTATCTTCACTGGGCCCTCTATCTGGCCTGCCTTGAGGCCCACGATTTAATTTCTATTACTTAAGGTTGTCTCAGATGGTTTGTACTGCCAAGTAGATGACCTAATGAGTCATGTGTTATGGAGCTAAGGGATTCACAGACCAAAAGATACTGAAGTGACGTTAATAGCAAAAACTCCAACCTCTTCAACTCCCTGTGAGAAAAATGAAGTCCAAAAAGCATTAATGATTTGCCTGATGTCACAAAGCTCATGACCAGCAGAGCTAAGGTGAATATTCAAGTTACTTGGAGCATTGGCATTCAACTGGGGGCCAGGGCACACTGGCCATGTTTGTTACACCACGAAGATGCCACTGACACTTGGAGGAAAAGCCCAGAGACGCTATTCAAATTCTTTATACAGGACAATCTCTCAAAACACAGTCATCCAGCCTAAAACATGGACTGTGCCAAGGTTGTTAGGTTGTGACTCAGACCTACACTTGACCAGACCTATGTAATCAACCTTATACTTAACACAAACATGTGGAGAGTAACTACTAACACAGGATATTTCTTTTTAATCAAACATTCAAGTAAACTTAGAGGTGTAGTTTGTTCCCTGTGAGAAAGACTGGCATCCAAAAGGAAAAAAAGATATACTCACCAGGAGCCAAAACCCAAGGGTCTCCTATCATAATCAGGTAGATCAGGAGCAATCTTACAAGCTTGTATATTCAGGTACTTAAAGATGTGGATTTTGCCTTTTATACATATCTAAAGAAAGCAATACAGAAATACAGATAAATCACTACCAATCTAAAATATGTTTTTTTTCAGAGTAAGCTTTTTATACAACATAAATTAATCAAAGACATTTCTATCAAGTATGTACAATAAAACTAATAACCTCATTATGAAAAACATTTGGACCAGCGTTATTTAAGTATTTTAATTGGTACATTTATATAAGTTTATATTTTCTGGTCACTACTGAGTTTTAGTAACACACAACTAATTTATGATTACACTATTAAAATACCACAGAAGCTTGTCACACTCATTAGCAATGTAATCAGAAATATAAAGCATGTATCCTCAACAAATCACATTGGTAACTTTCATCTTTAGGAATATAACCACCATATACAATTATGCTTTCATTCTGTTTTCTGTAAGACAGAACAGGAAATGATGAAATATGAAAGTTACAAAAGAAAAATTCTTTAAGTTTATGAGACTGTACTGTTATGAAGTTTAGTCACAGGTTTTCATAGTTACATAAAGATTACTACAGACTTGCAAAAAATCTTCAATGGAGTTTTAAAAAAAGCTCTGGTGAAAATAAGGATTGGCAAAGTAAGCTATAGGATGTCTAGAATCTATACATAAGACCTCCTTATAATTACTTTATTACTAAACAGTTTATTTCAGTCACTGATAAATAAATGACCAAACAGGCTAAATGAGGAACTATTCTATAACATAGAAAGGCACAAGAACAACAATTAGAAGAAATGCACTGATAACCCTCATTGCGAAGCTTGAGACCATTTATGTTAAATAGGGCTGGCCTGGCCTTGTGGTGCGGTGAATTAAGCCACCAGCCTGAGTGATAATTATTCATGTCCTAGCTGCTCTACTTCTCCCTGCTGATGTACCTGGAAAGGCAGAGAAAAGATGGCACAAGAGCTTGGGAACCTATACCCAAAGTTCCATCCTCCTGGTCTTCACTGCAGCCATTTAGGGAGTGAATCAGTGGATGGAAGGGCTCTCACTCACCTTTTCTCCCTCTCCTTCCCTTTATCCATCCACCTCACCCTATAACTTTGCCTTTCAAACAAATAAATAAATCTTGAAATGAAAAAAAAAAAAAACTTACGTTATATATATTCAAATTTTATCAGAAAGTAAAATTGAGAAAGAATTCCCCAACTTCCAAAACACGCAAATTTAATACCGAGAGAAACAGTTCTGGAATCATCATCTATCTTCCATCCCACTTACTCAAAGAATGTTTTTGAATTTACCTTGAAAGAACTAAACGTCCAATAGGCAGATAACAAAGCATACTTAAATTTTAAATTCATCTTTATTAAGAAAAACCCAGAATGGACCCTCACTCTGACTCACCTGTGCAGGAGGCGACTGCAGTGGATTGTTGTCTAGGGTTATCATCTGCAGATGCCGCAGGTTCCGGTAACACACAGGGATTGTTGTAATTTTATTGCACGAGAAGTCCAACCGTATCAAAGGCAACTCTGCCAGTTCTATGTAGAGGCAAAAGAGAAATGAACAAATAGTATTTTAAAATCAAACAATTCAAATTTCTCTTTAAATATGGTGGGGTATTTGCTTTCATTTTCTTAATGATCAACTGATGCGATAAGGTAGTATTAACAAAATTTAGCTACCTGCAGATATGAAAACTAACAAAAGGCAAGCAGTTTACTATTCTTCTTCTGCTCATCCCCTGCCTCTCAGGAAGTCTCAGAAGCTGGAGAGTTTGGTGCCAGAAAGGTGAGGCTAACAGAGGAATGAGAGGACGGTCTACTCAAGAAGCAGTTGGATGCCCAGTCCTTAACCCCAGCTTACTCAGGTGGAGCCCCGTCTGTGGTCCGAATCAACTAGATTCTCCAGGGAAACGCAATCAAAAAGGTCCTGAGTTCAGTGACTCCAAGTACAATGGGAAGGCACAATGAGTTGTTACTTGAAAAGAAACATCAGAGGAGTGTTGTGATGCTGCATGCTAAACTATCACCTGAGATGCTGGCATGCCATGTAAGTACAGGTATGAATCCTGGCTATTCTACTTCTGATTCAGCTCCCTGCTGCTGTGCCAGATGAAAGCAGCAGAAGATGGCCTTTGCCACCCACATGGGAGATCCATTTGGAGTGTCAAGCTCCTGGTTTCAACCACTACGGCCATTTGAAGAGTGAAACAGCAGCTGGAAGATCTCTGTGTATTTCCCCTTAATTCTACCATCCAAATAAATATCAAAAATTTAAAAATAAATATCATAGACTCAATCATAGAGGTCTAACATTCAATTTAACATCCATTTCAGAAATAGAATGGAGAAATCAAAAGGGAGGAAATGACCAAACATAGATATAAGCAAAGTTCCCTGAACGAGAAAATGAACCTTTAGTTTGTTCCTTTACAGCTGAAACTTTATCCAGCATACTGAATTAAAACTGATCCTTTGACACATCATTGGAAAATTTCAGAGTAACAGGAAAAAAAAAATCAAGAGAGAAACCTGGTAACAAACAAGGAACTGGGATTAGGTGTGGCATCATATTGTAAATCACTGATTTTTTTAAATACTGGAAGCAAAAAAAAAAGATGGAGAAATCCCCCCCCCCAAAAAAAAGGGTTCCTCAACCAAGAATCAATTGCTGGGGTCTGTGTGGTGGATGTGGAGGACACGAAGGTGTGAAAACAACTGTTCCATTGCAACCAAGGCTGCAAGGAATTTCCCACTGCATGGCAAGGCCCCGTGGATGTTTCTGCATCCACCTGAAGGCAGTTCCACCTCCCTTTGCATGGATACCGGACAACCTGCTAAGATTTCTGTAATCTATTTATGCATTGTCTGCCACTGAGTTACTATCAATGTGAGTTTGAAGTTGATGTTGCTGATACAGTCCCTAACAAAAGGGCCTTTTACTAATCATGATGTCTCAGCGGGCCCCATTGATCATATGTTAATCTAGGATCTAGCAGGAACCTATGCTTAGGGTTTTCCTCCCCCATTGACCATATGCTAATCAAGGGTGTTAAGTTCCTAGGCGTAGTAGGAATCTATTCTTTCCCTCTTTCCTTGATCTTTAGGTTCCTCCTTCTGTGACGCATTTTCTCCCTTAACTGATTCAAGACTAAACTGTAGGACGAGGACTGTACTAGGAATGTGTTATTGATCGATATGTACCATCTATTGAGAACTTCCTGACCACAGGATTATGACGGCTGATATCCTGCCTCAAGGTGAAACAATTGGCAGAATTATCCTTAGGAATGCCCACTTGTCCAGGTGTGAAAAGTCTGCGCCATCCTTTGTGACTGCTTCTGTATAAATAAAGTACACAGCTTTCTGGTACTGTCCATTATGATCCTGAAATTGTAGTGGTCCGTTTCTTTTCTATGCTTATTCCATGCATCCTTCTCAAGTTCCGAACTTGCCTAGAGCTGGACTCCAGCAAGCAATAAGAAATATAAGTTACTTACAAAAATTATTTCAAAGGCAGAGAACCTTTCACTAGCCAGCTTTAGGTGAGGCCACAGCCAAGAGTTGGGAACTCCATCTCAGTCTCACACATGGGTGATAGGGAGCCAAGCAACTCCTTTCAGTGTCTTCCCCAGCATAATAGAGCTGGACTGGAAGCGGTTCAGACGGAACTCAAAATGGCACACTCACATGGAATTCAATGACCCAAGCAGTGGTTTAACTCACTATATAACAAGTTACTAATCAAGGGTGAGTATAGAAAAAAGACATTTCGGGCTGGCGTGATAGTGTAGCGGTTGAGGTCCTCGTCTTAAACGCTCCATGATCCCATATGGGCGCCAGTTCTAATCTCAGCAGCCCCACTTCCCATCCAGATTCTTGCTTGTGGCCTGGGAAAGCAGTTGAGGACAGCCCAAAGCCTTGGCACCTTACACCCACGTAGGAGACCCAGAAAGAAGTTCCTGGCTCCTGGCTTCGGTTTGGTGCAGTACCAGGTCAGTTGGGGAGTGAATCACTGGATGGAAGATCTTCCTCTCTGTCTCTCCTTCTCTCTATACATCTGCCTTTCCAATAATAATAAATAAATCTTTAAAAAAAAAAAAAGACATTTCAAATACAATCTCAAAACAAAAACAAAAAACAAAAAAGTTCTCCAGTGAGACATTCTCAGAAAAACAGGGAAGAAATTAAGGAGGATGAAGATGTAAAGTACAGGAATAAGAGCAATCAACCTAGAATAAACAAAGCTGGACAGCAGCACTGGAGCACAACCAGCCCATTGGAGAAGGGAAATAAAAGGGACGGGTGCAGAAGATAGGGAAGGGAGAGACTGATAGTTAACTGGTATGACCAGAAATGCTGCAGGAAAGGGCGTGGAATTTGCCACACACGCTTTAAAAAGCTAAGGAAATATGAGGAATTAGTATTCTAGAAAATAACAAAATAAAGTCTGGAGCTGTGGCATAGCTAGTTAGGCCTCAGCCTGCACTGCCAGCATACCATATGAGCACTGGTTTCAGTTTCAGCTGATCCACTCCCAGTTCTCTGCTAATGTGTCTTGAAAAGCCGTGTAAGATGGCCAAAGTGCTTGGGCCCCTGCACCCACATGGGAGACTTGGAAGAAGATCCTGTCTCCTGGTTTCAGAACAGTCCAGCTCTGGCCACTGTGCCTGTTGGGGAGTGAAGCAGGAGATGGAAGACCTATCTATTTCTCTATCTCTCCTTCTCTCTCTGTAACTTTGCCTTTCAAGTAAAAATAAATCAATCTTAAAAAGAAAATGACAAAATGATGTATAAGGAAGAAAAAAAATACAGCAAATTGACTTGGCAGGGAATAATATTTACACAAAAATAGTAATGTAAATAGCAAATAATGATTGAAATAAGCATGATAAAAGTACACTGCAAAGGGCATAGTGTGGTAGCCTAGCAGCTAAAGTCCTCGCCTTGATTGCTCCAGGATCCTATATGGCCACTTGTCCATATCCTGGCTGCCCCAATTCCCATCCAGCTTTCTGCTTGTAGCCTGGGAAAGCAGTCAAGGACGACCCAAAGCCTTGGGACCCTGCACCCACATGGGAGACCTGGGAGAAGCTCCTGGCTCCTGGCTTCGGTTTGGCGCAGCTGCAGCCATTGCAGCCACTTGGGGAGCAAATCAGCGGATGGAAGAGCTTTCTGTATCTCTTTCTATCACCTTCTTTCTGTAAATCTGACTTTCCAACAAAAATAAATCTTAAAAAAAAAACTACACTGGGGAAACATGGGATGAAGGAAGTCAAGGTAGAACATGGTAATAGCATGTGGAACTAAAACTTTAAGGACAAAGCCAGCAATAGCTGCAGAAACATATTATTTAGAAATAAGTTAGTAAATGCCACTTGAAAGAATCAAAAGACTTTAATGAAAGCAGATGTTTCCGGTGCAGGAGGTCTGATATACAGGAATGTTATTATTCATTTTAGGCTTTTTAATATTTTTGAATTATGAAATATACTATTAATAAAAATGCAATTGAAAATCGAAATAGCAATATGCAAAACATGGGATCTACCTAGTGTTGCAGGTTAGAGGCTTTCAATAGATACACAGACGTTTCCACACTAACTTGTGTAAGCTGTCGTTTAACTGAATATGCTAAGATTGCAAAATACGCTATCAAAAAACATTTAAATTCTGTGTGGCTCACAATTTTTTAGGTAGTGAACATTTAAAATAAGACACAGAAAATTATTACTCTGTAATTGTCACCTGAACCCTCAATTTTCATTTTCATCAAAACTCCAATGCTTTTATTAACTGAGTTCTTATTAAACTAACATTACGTGAATAAACCCTTAAAAACAATCACAGTGAGTGAGTCCTGGGTAGGAGGGCAACACCGGAAATTGTGGGTTAAAAAGTCATATGTCATAATGTAGGGGCTTTTTTTCTTTCCTTTTAAAAAAAGATTATTTTTTTTTATAATATATAAAAAGCTATAGAGATCTGTAGGAAGGAGAGACAGAGAGAAGTATCTCCCATTCACTGGTTTACTTCCCAAGTGCTCACAACAGCTATAGCTGAGCTAAACAGAAGCCAGAAGCCAAGAGCTTCTTCTGGTCTCCCACGTGGGTGAAGGGTCCCAAAGTACTGGGTCATCCTCAGCTGCTTTCCCAGGCCACACAGGGAGCTGGCTGGGAACTGGAGCAGCTGGGACATGAACCAGCGCCCATGAGATCCTGGTGCTTGAAGGGAGAAAATTAGTTAATGAGCCATTACACTGGGCAAGAATTTGGAGGATCACTGTCAGGAAAGCACCTTTGAAAGACTCCTTATCTTTCACATGTACATTCTGAAATGTTTACACATGAATTACAGATGTAATGTCTTCGAGTTGAAGACAGGATTGGAAGGAAGTGGGTGAGGGGATAGATGAAACAAAAGCTGGCATGAGCAGAAGGCTGTTGTAGTCAGCTGATGGCTACACAGAGGTTCAGTATATATGAAACAAAATGAAAGGAATATTTATTCTGAACCCAATAAAACAATGGCTCTCCCATTTTCACTTTCTTTTATTGGTTTTTATTTCATGAATTTGTACCTAGGAGATACTGCTAAAAGTGTACCTAACTAAGCATTTTCATTATTCAAATACACATACCAGAGTGTACAGTCAGCCTAACATGACTAGTCTCTCATCCTATTCATCATCCATTCTACATGCAATTTCCAAATCTCTGATCATTTTTAGTGAATTTTAAAGTTAAGGCCACCTCCAAGTCCATTTTTAAAATCAGTGACGCCTTTATCAAAATATTGTATGTCCTCCAATCATATTTATCATGAGTAAATATGTAAGTAAACTATATAAGCTGACAAGGTCTAAAAATAAAGTCATTGGTTAATAGTAATCAAAAACTTTAACTGAAGAGTCAATTAAAAGCTACACTGATTCAGACAACATTATTAAACGACCATTAGACCTCAAATACTAGCCCTAATGCCTACATTTTTGTCATGTGTCAAACAGCCTAAGAGATCTTTAAAAGATAAATAATGACTAAGCATTTCCATTTCTTACCTTCAGGCAAACGTACTAAATGATTTCTTCTTACATTAAGGTCTCTCAAGGCCTCCAGATTACCAATTTGGGAAGGTATAGTTTGAATTTCATTGCAGCTTACGTCCTATTTGAAAAAATACAAAGATGCTTTGAACTATATGCAAAGTGAGATTACAGAAAAAAATGTCAATGGTCTTTCCCAGTTACAAAAAACAAACAAAAATTTGGGATTCAGTGTCCAAGAATACTTTCACAGTTTGTACTGATACTTAATTTTTTAAAGATTTATTTGAAAGGCAGATTTACATAGAGGAGAAGAGACAGATCTTCTATCTGCTGGTTTACTCTCCAAATGTCCATAACAGCCAGAGCTGGGCTGATATGAATCAGGGAGCCAGGAGTTTCTTTTGGGTGTCCCACATGGGTGCACTGTCCCAAGGCTCTGGGCCATCCCCCTCTTTTCCCAGGCTATTGACAGGGAGCTAGATCAAAAAGGAGCAACCAGGAACTGAACTGGCACTCATATGGGATGCCAGCGCTACAGGGTGGAGGATTCGCCTGTTGAGCCACAGCGCTGGCACCAGGTACTTAATTTTTAAAACTTCAGATTTTGGCAGGTTCTATACATTTCATATAGATCTACATGAAATAACCAGATTAAAACAAATATTCAGGATGTAATTGGTGGTTCAGAATATAAGATCAAATGAAAAAGTTCATGAAAAAGTACAGTACAGAGCCTAGAGATATGGTTTGGGGGTAAAGTGGAGTGGCATTTCATATGAGCACCAGTTTAAGTCCTGGCTACTCCAGTTTTGATTCAGCTCTCTGATAGTGACTGTGGAAAAGCAGTGGAGGATGGCACAAGTCCTTGGGTCCCTGCAGCCTTGTGAAAGACCTGGAAGCAGCTCCTGGCTCTTGCCTTTGCATTGGCCTACCTTTAATCATTGCAGCCATTTGAAGAGTGAACCAGTGGATGAAAGACCTCTAAGTGTCACATGAATCCCTAAAATTCTTCCAACACGTGAGTAAAAGAGTCAATTTATCTACTGCTGGAAAACATCATTTACTTCAGTATGCTTCAGACGCTGTTTTAATTATCTCAAAATATTCTTAGAGAAAACAATGGTAGTTTTGCTTTTTCCCTATCAAGTAGTGACAGAAGCAGAACTAGAAGTAGGCATCTTACTCTGAAGCTCAAGGTATCAAAGTTAAAAGTATTCTAAAAGTTGATGAAAAAGCAATTTTTGTCCAGGGAGAGAGGAAGTTAGGATGCCTCAGAAAGACCTTCAGGAGGCAATCAGGAGTTTCAGGGTTGTCAATTCTTACCCTGCCACAAGATCTTCCTAATGGAGGTAAAATTAATCTCCTTTACAGAAAACTAAAAAATCTAAATATGGTGGCCTAGAATCTGGACTCCAGATTTATGTGTGAATTTTCACAAGTAATCTCTGATGTTTATAATCTACCTGTAAAAAAGATTGCTCCCTGTACCAACTAGAGTGTATGTTCATCATGGTTAATAATCCCGCAATAATTACCTTTCCAAACCTCAATAGACCTAACTATATTTAACCATTTCAGAAATAAAAGCATGGACCTTGGAATTAAAATAGTTTGATTTTAAGTTGTACCTTGACTATGTAACATTTGGGCTATTTAGCCTGACTACTGGTTTTCTCTCATAAAATGAACATCATATGTACCCAACTCATAATATGAGTGTGATGACTGAGAAAAGACTTAATCCATCTAATAATTACTCAAGGTGGTGGTTTCTTATCTGTAATTTAAAAGGAGTGGTAACTGACAGATTTTCATTAAATGTTTTAGTATTTGAAAATACACGGAGTAGGGGCCAGAACTGAGACACAGTGGGTAAAGCTGCTGCCTGGCATGCCAGTATCCCATATAAGCGCAGGTTTGTGTGACTCAACTTCCAATCCAGATCCCTGCTAAATGTCTGGGGAAAGCAGTAGATGATGGTCCAAGTGAGTGGGCCCTTGCTATCTGTGTGAGAGACCTGAAAGAAACTCCAAGTTTTTGGCTTTGACCTGTTCTTGGCTGGAATGCATCTTTGGGGCCATCTGAGGAATGAACCAGCAGACAGAGACCTCTCTATGTCTCTCTGTCTGTCTCTGTAACTCTAACTTACAAATAAATAAGTAAATTTAAAAAAAAAAAAAGAATATTGGAGGGGTCAACACCGTGTAATAGCATGGTAATCTTCTGCCTGTGGTGCTGGCATCCGATATGGGCACCAGTTCATGTTCCAGCTACTCCATTTCTGATCCAGCTCCCTGCTAATAGCCTGGGAAAGCACTGGGGAATAGCCTAAGGGCTTGGGCCCTATAGCTATGTTGAAAACCTGAAGAAGCACATAATTCCCAGTTTTGGACTGGCCCAGCTCCAGCCACTACAACCATTTGGAAAGTGAACCAGCGGATGGAACAACTCTTGTCTCTTCGTAATTCTGACTTTCAAGTAAAAGTAAATCTTTAAATACATACATTATATATGAGTAAAATATATTTCATATGGGAGATAGATTCTATAGATGGTACATGAGGCAGAACAACAGCAACAACAAAAATCCTGACTTACTTTTTTAAAGATTTATTTACTTCCTACTGAAAAGGCAGACATTCAGAGAGAGATACAGAAAGACCCTCCATCCGCTGGTTCACTCTCCAAGTTTCCGCAACAGCTAGAGCTGAGCTGATCTGAAGCCAGGAGCCAGGAGCTTCTTCCAAGTCTCCTGTATGAGCACAGGGTCTCAAGGTTTTGGGGCATCCTGGACTACCTTCCCAGGCCCCAAGTAAGGAGCTGGATGGGAAGTAGAATGGGGGGACATGAACTGGCACCCACACAGAATCCTGGTGGATGCAAGGCGAGGACTTTAGCCACTAGGCCACCACACCAGGCCCAACTCTGACTTTTATAGTACCCATTTCCTTATAGGACTAACCAAAAATCAGATTACTGATCATACTAACAAATTTATAAATGTATTATTAGCCTAGATCTCAAAATTTTTGTAACACAGAGGTTACTTAATACTAGTCAGAACACAATTCTAATGATATCTTTCCATTCTGTGTGGGCCTATTAAACTGTACTTTCAGTTCTTAATTCTGTGGTAAAGCACTTGAGTACTGCCCATTCAGTAAAAGATCATTGTCAATACTGGGAAATACTGATAAAACACATCTAATAGATTACACAAGGGCATGGTATATCTATAGAGATTGTATTCCAACAAATATTAACTTACAAGTTCTGTCAAATATCTGAGTTGTCCAATTTCTTCTGGAAGGGAGACCAATTTGTTATTACTAGCAATTAAGACTTTCAATGGTAAATTACACAAGTGCACTGGCAATGTTGACAGCTGGTTTCGACTAAATGAGCAAATTGAAAAAGAGCAAAGTTAGAGCCCAATACCGGAAAGTTTCCATTCTAGACTCAATAAAACAATAAATATGAGAAGTACAAGGAATAAACAGGATATCATATTTGAATTCTTGTCCTCCCTTTGTGGTTTTAGGCACACCATTAAACTCATCCACATGTTACAAAGATTCCTCATGTAAACTGAGAGTCTTAATTTCCCTATCATCTATGTTAGGGGGTTCATGGACAATGTAAATAACAAAGTATTATAAAAACACATTATTTTATTAAAACAAAATCTATGGGAAAAAAAAATGACCTTAAAAAGTAGTACTCAACTCTCAATGTTCCTTCTAAACAAGTTGTAAATGTAAAATCCTTTGTAACCTATTTATTTCACTATTACATTAGAACCACTTATACCTACAGTGATTCAAATATGGCTCCATGGAAAACAAGTGGTAATCTATGACTTCATTCATCAACAAAGTAAGGAATTCATTTATTTATATAATAACATGAAAATCAGAACTAAAAATAATAAAACACATCTATATTAGTATAAAAAAAGTTAAAATTTTTCTTAGATTCTACTTCTTAATTCTTATCGTCAATTTCCTTCCTATTCTCAAGATCTTTTGTTCATTTAACTAATTTAAATTATAAGCCTTTAATAGTTCTTAATCCACTAATTACTGTATTCTGAGACATTTATCTGAAGTGAAAAGAAAAACCATTATAATAATTCAGTTTTCTATTGATATTAATTTTATTATGATGAAAAACTTGAAAATATCTGGCAGAAAAAATAGATTTTTTTGAAAGTCTGTGAAATGTACAACAAAGTGGTTACACATAAAAATATATCCAAAGAACATCTAATGACACAGAGGAAAAACTCATTTTAAAACTTAACTGAAACTTTAGAAAAACAGAAAGAAAACACCCATAATTATGCAATTATACCACCACCTATAATTATGTAAGCCAGATACAAAATTTGATGAATTTCCTTTACACTTTTTTGGGTGAATTTTCTCCAATGAACATTTTTATAGTGAAATAAAACAACGAAAGTGTTTCTTGTACAATGTTTATAAAGATGAATAAATTTATAAATTTATAAAAAGATGAATAAATACATGATCAACTCAGATCTTAATAGGTAACAACACTAGAACCAAATGAAAGAATTTCAGTATCTACTATTCTTATTTGAAAAAGCTAATTTGAAATTGTAATTGGAGAATCATTGTTACTACACAGCTGCAAGCTTACTAGGCTAACAGCTAGTCGGGCTTGTAACTTCTACGGGGTTAAAAGATAAATGGAACAAACTGCAGGGACATAGGAAATATGGTTAGCATCCCTACAGCTTATACAGAAAACGCTAACAAAAGTAAAAAATATAAATATTCATGAATATTTTAGTGAGAGAGATGAGAAAATCTGAATGAAAAGAAGTCATATTCTTACCTAATATTTAAAAATGTTAGAGCTTGTAGATTTAGTATTGCCTCTGGAATATACCGAATACAATTTTGGTACAAGTTGAGATTTTCAAGAGAAACAAAGTGACAGGCTTCTATAGGAATCTCTGAGAGGCGATTTCTTGACAGGTCTGAAAAACAGGAAAGTTCAAAATAAGTCCTTGGAACTTCATTTTAACATGTCTTTAAGTCTGCTGTTGGAAAATGCTGATTCCTTTTGAATTCCTATGTAAACTAAGAAACAAAGCAAATTATTACTATATGAAGTAATAGAAATATTTACCAAAGATATCAGATAGAAAATCAACATACAAAAATCAATTTTATTTTTTTACTTATCATATATGAGAAAAAAATAGGATGTGTTGTCTGTAGTATAACCTGTTGGACCATATGCCTGTCTTGGCTAATCTTAATTTTCTGTGCCATGTAACCTAATATATTCAGGTTACAGTCACTTTCAAAGAACTGTAATTTGGTCCTCCACATGTCTGAACTTTCTAAAACAGAAGCATACAAGCATACTTTCTGTGTATACTTGTGTATCTAACATCTGAGATTCCTCCATGTAATGGCACATTGCATTTTCATTATCTTCACAGTATTTGGCTAGATGAATGATGCTCAGTTGCTCAGTTTATTTATACTTTATACTAATATTTTAATTGTAAACCAATCTCTACATACATACACACAATTTTCAAAAGGCTTGTGGAAAATATACACTATCTGGGCCCGGCGCAGTGGCGCAGTGGTTAAGGTCCTCGCCTTGCACGCCCGGGATCCCATATGGGCGCCAGTTCTATCCCGGCAGCCCCGCTTCCTGTCCAGCTCCCTGCCTGTGGCCCGGGAAAGCAGTCGAGGACAGCCCAAAGCTTTGGGACCCTGCACCTGTGCGGGAGACCCGGAAGAGTCTCATGGCTTCAGATCGGCATAGTATCGGCCGTTGCACTCACTTGGTGAGTGAATCATTGGATGGAAGATCTTTCTCTCTATCTCTCCTCTCTGTATATCCGCCTTTCCAATAAAACATAATAAAAATAAATCTTTAAAAAAAAAAGAAAATATACACTATCATTTAAATTTTTTTTTAACTTTTTATTTGAAAGGCAGATCTGCAGAGAGAAGGTGAGACAGAGAGGGATCCTCTATCTGTTGTTGGAATCTCCAAAGGGTCTCTGATGTGCGTGCAGGAGCCCAAGCACTTGCTCCATCTTCCATTGCTTTCCTCGGCACATTAGCAGTGGGGTCAAGGGTCAAGCCAGTGTAAATTTATTTTTTAATTATTCAAGAAGCAAACATGGAAAGACAGGTGATAGTGAGCTCCCATCTGCGGGTCCACTCCCCAAATACCTGCCATAGTTTGGGGGCAGGAAATGCAACCTGGATCTTCATCTCCTATGAGTGCTAGAAGGTCAGTTACTTGAGATATCCCCGCTGTCTCCCACAGCCTGCACTGGCAAGAAGAGGGACTGTGGAGTTGAAAGTGAGAGCTGAACTCAGGCACACTGATGGGGACACGGTAACTTAATCACAGGGCTGAACGCCCACCCTAAAGTATTATCTTTTATCTTCATTTCCTCACAAATAGAAAGTCCCTTCACATCTAGAAGTAAAAATACTGTGTGTTGATACAATGTATTGATTACTCAATACTATATCAATTAATTCTATAATGTTGTAAATTGTTGTTGATGTTGTGCTGGGGCTTCTAATTGATTGGGACGATATTCTGCCAGCTCTACCTTCAGATCAGAGAAGGTCTCCCCAAGAAACTGTTGAACTTATCTGGACAACAAGACACTGGACTCTATGCTTGGTATATGATTGCAATGAAAGAATCTTGACTTAATTTGAACTGTAATACTGCAACTAGATGGAGGAATCCACCAAGGGGGGAGGGCACGAGGAGCGGATGGGGGACTCCCAGAGCCTATGAATCTGTGTTACATAATGCAACGTAATTAATAAAAAAAAAATACCGTGTGTTTTTGACATGACTGAATGGCAAAGCTGTACCAAATTACAAATTACAGCAGGGCACAGCGTTCTTATGGCTTAAAAAATCCTTGCTAACACCCACAATTAGGAGACAGTTTATTTTAAAAATTATTTTATTTGTTCATTTTATCTGAAAGAGACAGAGAAACATCTCCCTTTGGAGTTTGAAACAGGCACAGCCACTCTCACATGGAATACAGCATAGCAAGCAGTCTCTTAGCTGCTGTGTTAGACAGCTAATCCCAATGCCTATCTTTAAATATGTATCTAATCCATTCATTTGCCAAGAGTACAGAAACAAACTTTTTTAAATTTTGATGTTGCACCTAAAATCTTTGTTAAATGTTTTTCATTATTTTATACATTGTATCTGGCAGATTTTCTAGGTTGTTTATATCTGCAATTACATACGCTATAAATAATGAAACCTTGATTTTCTACTTTTATTTCTTTATTGTACTGGCAAGGATTTCTAATACATTGTTAAATTTTTTTCCTAACTTTGAAGATCTTTTTATTCCCTATCAGATTGAGGAAATTCCTTTCTGTTCTTATTTGCTAGCTTTTATCAAAAATGAGTGTTTGCAAATTACCTCTTTCTCCAGCTCTTAAAATGATTTTACGATTTTTATATACTTATAGTAATATTGACATTTGCCCTTTACTTCACTATTTTTTTTAATATTTATTTATTTTTGTTGGAAAGGCAAGAGAGAGAGGAAGTAGATTTTCCATCTGTTGGTTCACTCCTCAAATGGCCACATGGCAGGCGCTGAGTTGATCCAAAGTCAGGAGGTGGGACCTCTTCTGGGTCTTTCGCAGGGGTGCAGGGTCCTAAGGCTTTGTGTCATCCTCCACTGCTCTCCCAGATCACAAGTGGGGAACTGGGTGGGAAGTGGAGTAGGTGGGACATGAACTGGCACCCACATGGGATCTTGGCACTTGCAAGAGGAGGATTAACTAATTGAGCCATTGCATTGGACTCTACTTCATTATTCTTGTAGAGTTTTTATTGTTCTCACTAATCTTTTATTCTGTTTCTATTTATTCAATTAATTTTCTAATATTAAAAAATCTTACATTCCTGAATTAAATCCAAGTTACTCATGATACGTCTTCATTCTTCATGTAACTGGATTAAGTTTCTTAATATCTGACTCAAGATATTTTTCACAAGTGATCATGAATATTTCTGGACTATGATTCCCTTTTTGGACACTATCAGCATCTGAGGCCAATATTGTGGTTGCTAACATGGTGAAATTTAGTTTGAGCATATTCCTATGTTTTGTAATTAAAAATTAAAAAAAAACTTGTTATGTGTGTGAGAGCGAACAAGCAAGCAAGCAAGCTTCCACCTGCTGGTTCACTTGCCAAATGCCTCCAACAGGTGGGGCTGGTCTGCACTTTAGCAAGAGCTGGAAGCTCAATTCAGGTTCCCAAATAGGTGGTAGGAACCCAATTACCTGAATCATTAAAACTGCCTTTCAATCGCCTCCCAGCAAGCTAGAGTAGGCACTCTCAACCTTGGCACGGGGATTGACATGGTGGCTTACGGGCATAACTCTCCTCCTTGGCACCAGCATTCCATACTGGTGCCAGTTTGAGGAATATCTAATTCTTACTTTCAAGTATCAGGTACTTCAATGAAGGATGTGTGTTTTAACTGGCAACATTATTAAGTGCCAAGCTAAATACCTACCCCACAATTAGCTTTTCCTTTTCTGTTGGCCGAAAGGGTTTATTTTGGTTTCAAATTACTTCTTTTTCTAAATATATTTTTATTTTGAATTTTGAATTATGTGGTACAATTTCATATAGGCTGGGATTCCCCCCAGAAACTCCCACCCTCGACGGATTTTCCCCATTATACTACAATGGTGTAGTCCTTCACAAGGAATCTTTATTCTATCAGTCTCTTATCTGAGTTGACTGAAAGGGTTTATTTCGGTTTCAAATTATTTCTTTAAAAAAAAAAAAGTTTTCTAGAATAGAATTAATTGCTGAAGTTATCTTGGCTTGAATTTTTCTACGAACAAAAATTCTCCAATACTTACTTAATTTAAAAAATATTTCTAAGACTATTTTAAGTTTTATGTATCTTCTTGAATTAATTTTAAGAATTTGTTGTCTAGGGGGCCCGATGCAGCAGCCTAGCAGCTAAAGTGCTCATGCCAGCATCCCATATGGGCGCCGGTTCTAATCCCAACGGCCCTACTTCCCATCCAGCTCCCTGCTTGTGGTCTGGGAAAGCAGTCAAGGATATCCAAAGTCCTGGGACCCTGCACCTGAATGGGAGACCTGGAAGAAGCTCCTGGCTCCTGGCTTTGGATTGGTACAGCTCCGGCCATTGCTGCCTGTTTAGGGCGTCAATCAGTGGATGGAAGATCTTCCTATGCCTCCTTCTCTCTGTATATCTGGCTTTTCAATAACAAGAAAATAAAATCTTAAAAAAAGATCTAGCAATTTGCTGTTTTATCATTTCAAAAAAATTTATTAACATAGTTATAGTATCCTCTTTTTTCCCATAAAACTAAGATGTCTTTTTGGGTTTTTTAAAAAATTTATTTTATTAATTTGAAAGAAAAAGTCACAAAGACAAAGGAGAATACAGAGAAAGAGAGATCTTCATCCTCTGGCTCACTCTCCAACTGACGTGTGGGGCTGGGCAGGGTGAAGCCAAGAGCCGGGTGTCTCTTGGGGGTCTCCCATGTGAGAGCAGGGACCCCAGCATTTGGGCCTTCTTCTGCTGCGCTATCAGGCATATTTAGCATGGAGCTGGAACAGGCGCAGCATCTGGGACTTGAACCAGCATCCATATGAGATGCCAACTTTGCAGGCACTGGTTTAACTAATTATACCACAATGACAGGCTCCTTTATTCATTTTTAATTAAACATTTTAAAAGAAGAATTTCTATTTTATTTTATTTTTAGTAGAAGGTCAGGGTTATAGAGAAAGAGGGAGAGACAGCACTCTTTCCTCCACTACCACAATGGCCGCAACCTGGCCAGTCTGAAGCCAGGAGCTTCTTCAAGGCCTCCCATTTGGGTGAAGAGGCTCAAGGCCTTTGGATCATTCTCCACTGCCTCTGTAGACCATTAGCAAGGAGTCTGATGGAAGTGGAGCA